TTTTTGGGGGGTTTGAAGGGGGGCCCCACGGAGGGGATTGGAAAAAAGGAATTTTTTTGGGGGAAAAAAAAAATTTATAAAAAAATGGGGGGGAAAAAAAAATTGGTTTAGAGGGGGTTTTTTTTTTTTTTTTAGGGGTTTTTTTGGGGGGAAAAAGGAAAAATTTTTTTTTAGAAAAATTGGGGGTTGAAATTGTTGAGGGAAAATGGGGGGGGCCCTTTTTTTGGGGGACTTTGGTTTTGGGGAATTTTTAGGATTTGGGGGGGGGGGGTTAATTTTGGTCCCCCCCTTTTGGGTGGGGTGAAAAAAAAGGGTTGGGGGTGGGTTTTAAAAAAGGGGGTTTTTTGGTTTTTTTTTTTTTGGCCGGGGGGGGGGGGGAAAATTTAGGGGGGGAAAAAGTTTTTGGGGGTTTTTTTTTTTGGGGGGGGTTTTTTTTTTCCCGGGGGAAAATTTTGGGGGGGCCAAAAAAATTTTTTTTTGAAAGGGAAAAGGGGGAAAAAGGAAAGGGGGGGGGTTTTTTTGGGGGGTTTTTGTACCCTTCCCTTGGGGTTTTTCCCCCCCCCCCCCCCCCCCCCCCCCCTTCGGCCCCGTTCGTAATGGATGTTTCAGACTGGGAGTCGATCGCGTGTTAACCTCGGGGAGACACGAAAGTGCGTGGGACGGGCGAGCGGTTATATGTCGACTCGTCGAGGCTTCTGGGGGGCGCATCGGTATCCTGCCAGGTGCACCCACGGTTGGTGTTGGTGCCCATCTCCCTAGCTAGCGGGCGTGCTTCTATTGAACACGGAACACCATTCGGACCGGCGCGTGTGTTGGGGGTTGTGCATGGAGCAACACTCGCTATGAATATCGCCACTGAACGGTTGCACAGCAAATGCAGAGGAGCTGCATGAACGATGCTGGTCGTGCACGCTGCGTGCTTTGCTAAGAGAACTATGACAAGCTTGTGGCATTTTTACAGAACACTTACTTTTTTTTTTATCTTCTCCTTGCATGACCCCGGCTGGTGGGTCAAACACATACCGAACATTTTTGACTGGTGCCTAGAGTAGATGGGACGGAAACACACGCAACCGGTTAGCGCGGCTGATGCTAATAATAAAGGCACACCCAACATTCATCCGGGGAATAGCTTAGCCTCCCCCATGCCGCCCCCTCACGGGGTCCCAGTTATTGGCATTTAAATGTGTTTTGTGTTTTCAACCGCACTGAGACTGTCGTCTTTTCATTGGTCAGCCGGTTAGCGCGGTCGATGGTAATAGTCAAGACACACACAACACGCACGCCGCTAGGCTACCTTGTGTCAAGGGTTTCAATTGCTTTCCGGCTTCGTGTCGACACCGATGAACCACCAAAAGTATCGTGCCTGGTGTCGTGACCGTTACCGTTGCAGGTGCTGGGGTCACACATGGTAACGTGAAGCAACTCTTGCTGCATACGGGGGCGAAAGAAGTGCACGTCGGCTCCGCTTGCCAAGAGAAAGTTCCGAGAACCGCTCTTCGCGAGGATGCGACTGTTTGCCTGGGGTTTGTGGGAGAAGGTGCGTACGTTTGGGACAGCTCGTGCTAGGCTGATACGTTGCACAGGGCTCTCTCTCTCTCTCTCTCTCTCTCTCTCTCTCTCTCTCTCTCAAGATAGTACAAACTATAACTTGTGCGGGTGACGGCCGTTTCGCCCCTGTCACCTTGGGGAGATTGATCGTTGTGTCGTGTGAGGTTCACGTTCCATACCGTGCGCGAGCGGTCCGCGTTAGGTCGACCTTGGCTGTGCATGATGAGGGCACGCGTGTTTTGCTCGACTTTCGAAAGGATGTCTTGTTACTTTCGACAGCAGTGCGGCATCGTGTTGTTTTCGGGAATGGAAATGGACACAATCTTCTCAAGCCACAAAGAGAGTAACGCTTTTGTTTGCTTGTTGTTTGTCCACAAATGGCCAGGTTCCGCCACCGCCGGCCTCAAGCGAGTATCTGCTGGTCGAGTATCCGAGATGCTAACCATTATAGCCGAGGGAATGTCGTGACGTCACAGCCAATCTAGCGATGCGCTCGACATTTCGGTCGCTCTGCTGTTGTCGTGACCTTGTTAGATCATGCTTTCGGTTGGTCGCTGCCCGTCCGCCCTCTCATGTATGTTGTCCATCGTTGTTTACAAGGTCTTCCGTTGTTATCATCGTCGTTGTCGTTGGTTTTGTTGTTGCTGGTGGTGGTGGTGATGGTGGCGGTGGTTTTGGCATCCTCCCCCCCCCCCCCAGTGTTTGCCATCGGGGTTGGGTTTTCGTCGCTTGGCAACGACGTTGTAAAACAAGCCGCCCCCCCCGGTGTTTGCCATCGGGGTTTGGGTTTTCGTCGCTTGGCAACGACGTTGTAAAACAAGCCCCCCACTCGGTGTTTGCCATCGGGATTGGGTTTTCGTCGCTTGGCAACGACGTTGTAAAACAAGCCAATTCACTTCGTGAACTCGGCAACCAGGTTACCGTTTTTTTTTTTTACCTCGTTTTTTTTTTGGCGGTAACCATAATGGTGGTCGAGTAGATCATGTTGTGCGGGGTCGAGAAACCTCACTCCGCGCAACGGGGGATGATCGCACCACGTTGTGTTAAAATGGTCAAGCTTCCTCGAGGCAGTTACACAGTGCTTACAACTGTCTCTGGAAGTGAAAGCACCAGAAAATAAATTAAGTCATACGTAGCTGTCATCCGTACGCAAGGAAGTAAGCACAAGATGCCGAACACCCTTAGCAGGATGCAGCTCACCCTTCATGCGACTCGCCAAATACCTCACGGCGCTTCGCGCTTGGTGATGTGAGAGCCTGGTCCGGTGAGAACCCGGCGTGCTCCGTCCCGGCTTTGTAGGGATGCGAGGTCAATGGTCTAACGACTACGGCATGCACGACTATGAGTACACCCCCCTCCCCCCCCCCTTTCTTTTGGGTGAGCAGACTCTGTAAAGTGACGGGAGACCCAAGTACGTGGGACCACTCGACATGTGTTTTGTGCGTTTGTCTCAAGTTGCCCGCATGACACAAGCGTTGTACACAGTACATGCGGGCCACGGCAAGTCTTGGTTGCGTTGGATGGAGTAGATGCCGTGGTTGACTATCTTTCTGCTCTATGCAAATGCCGAGCTTCGTGCCTTGAAAACCGCCTCTTAAGTACCATGTACAATGTAGTTACTCGTATGAATCGCCTTGTGTACAAGCCTCCTAGTTCACCGTTTACACAGGTGTCCAGATCAACCCTCAAATGCACCGCTCGTCGGCCATACACCGTTTATATGCACTGATCTGGAAAGATTACACTGGCGCACGGACCGCCATGCTTTGCCCCTGGTACACGCTACAGCTAGCTCCAACCCAACTTGCGTAATGTACGAAGAGGTTGGTTTTGAGACATGATCAACTTCAACATGTCATGGTTTTGACCAAGGATTGTGAAGAGATCGCGCCATGTCGCAATTTCCAAGCCCCCGCCACATTCCTCTGCACGCTGGTGGCTCAGTTTGTAGTTGTCGACTCCAGAAGAACACAAAAAAAGGCAGAACCCTAGCATCGTGGAGTATGTACCTAAATCACGGTCACAGGAGCAGCGTCTACATCCTCTAGTTTGAAACATCCCCGCAACAACGGCATTCGCCAACGCCGAAGCCACCCATCGGAACCTATAGCTGACGGGAACAAGTCAACCTGGTCCTACGGCAGTGCTATCGAGCTACAGCAGTGTAGAGATGAGCGGTCCCAGCTGACGAATAGGTCGCCAAAACCCGTGCGCTATGCCTTCAGAGTAAGAAATGTCTAGTTCTCGTTTCGCTCGTCGAACGAGGAGAAGGTGTTGGTAGCCCTGTCATTGGTCGAAACGAAGGGAGGGGAAGGAATGACCTAGGTTGCAAACCTTGGCGTGAAACGCGGCGATACCCTTTTCATCCCCAGAACAGATAAGCCTTTTTGGCGTGCTATATCTGGGAGGTAGTTTTCCAAGTGCGAAACCCCGTCGCCGTTCTTGCTCCGCCGGCTCAAAACAGCGGCCGATACGAATGCTTAGGATATAGACTTCTGTGCTACCCTTGACTGATAACGTTTAGGAACGCTATCGAACTGTGTCATTTCAGACAGCTTCAACTGCCGTGTACAGCTGTGGTTTTGGAGGAAGTTCTATTGCACTCCTTCCTCTCGATGAAACGGCTACATTGATTGGTTGGCATGGCATCCGTCCATCCTTACTTTGGGGCCACGCCGTGCTTCTCTCTCAACACCTCGGCCTCCTTCTCGAAATGACTCTCGAGGGCGTCCGTGAAGCGCCTGCGGCGATAGTCGGCCTTTGCCGCGTGGCGCTGTTTCTCGGCCCTCAGGGCGGCCAGCATCTGGGCCTTGCGATGCCCGGAGCTCTTCTCGATGTCCATGAGCGCCTTTAGGCACCGCTCCTCTTCAATAATAGCTCGCTTTTCTCGGCGGAGCGCCTCAAGATCGGAAGACTCTGTCAATGCCTGCATATTCCATATTGCAAAAATGGCGTGTTCCGGTTGCGTGTTGTTCCACACAAGAAAAGCAAACGAGCACGGGGCCCCTTGTCTTTGTTCAGCCCCTCGAACGTTGGAACTGGACTACTGCTGTAGAGTACATATCTTGATCTCTTCTTTCAACCAGTCGGGGTAGGTTACAGTCTGGTATCGACAACTCAAGGTACGACCGTTGCCCTGTTGCTCGCCGGCTTCATGACCAACGTCACGTTTTCCCTCCACAATCAAAACTCCGACTACATCAAAATATTCAAACCATTTACCTTGGTGCTTCGTAAATCCTCGGAGTCTCAACAAGCCAACAAATAAACAACACAAGTGCGCATTGCATGTCCATCCAAATACAGGAATAGACTGGGGTAGGTCACACACCTGCAGTATGATGTTGTTCTTGGCTTCTTCCTTTCGTTTTTCCCTGATCCTTGCTTGGCGCGCCTCCTCTTTAAGACGCACTTTGTTCTCTTCATCGAGTCTCTCGTTCTGTGGAGGCCAAGAACAAAGTACGATAGAATTATGGATCCACTGCCGGTAGGCATCACGGTTAGGTCAACGCCGAATAGCTCTACAGCTTTGCGGCAAAGCAAGGGCTGTAAAACACGAACCCAGAGCTGCACAAGCATGACTTACGGTATGATGTATGGTATGGAGCGATAGACCTGTGTTTTATTGGTAATATTCCAGCTTGCGAAAGGAGGGCTGTTCGGCATGACCAAGCAACACTCAAGAAAGTGTGGGCGGTGCCACCGGCGGACACAGGAAGCTCAACCCAAAGTAATGCGTAACTTACATTGAATCATGCGGGTAAGAAACAAAAAATACAACAGACCATTCTACCCTGCCTGGCTATTTAAATAGACTCTGTGCTTAAGCGTTTGACCAAGGTTGTCAACCGCTTCAAAATCCGCTTTTGAACTCTATGATGCCTACGAAGTTCCGAGCACCTCGGCGAGTAGGTTAATGAGGAACGGGCTCCGGTGCGTCTTCTTTTCCCAGCTCTGCACTTTCTTGTGCTTGCCCTCCTGCAGCCGTCGCCGATACCTCTGATGCGGGAGGGTACACGACCGTGAGATTTTTCGAGAAGGTCCCAGAGATATTCTCGAAAGAAAAGGGGGGGTCAGGTGCCGTTTATTCCCAAGTCCCGAATGGTCTCGCAGTAAGTGAGCGGACTACAGACTACCAGAGGAACTTTCAGATGGGGGTTGGTTGCGGGGTTGTTTGTGTCGGTTGCTCAACTACTGGCCTAGATCGTTACAGTTGGCCGAACATCAGTCTTCATTTACTGGGAGAGCACATGCAAATGAGGTACTCCTCTTACGGCCGAATGGCGCAAAACAACAACGGTTTACGTCGTACGCCACCCATCGTACGCCACCTATCGCACACGCAGTAACGCACACACGTGCGTTGTACCTACAAAGCACGTGTAGCGGTGGAGATTTATACACGATCCTTACCTGGTGGTTTTAGGCCAACAGCCATAATGGCGATCTCAGAAGTGCCGGTATCTGCCACCCAAGCCACCAATAAATCAGAAGGCAATGCCAGTGATATTCAAGCACTCCCACGATACTTGTACGTGTATACCTTGACTTTTCCTTCTTGGTGACGTGATTACGTTGGCGGCATACACTCTGTCGCACACGGAACCCTACAGACGGCCTAAAACAGCAGCCCTACGTGTACATCTTGCCCGCAAAATCATTACATTACATCGACCTTACCTTAGTCTGCGCGCTCATCTTGTCCTTGACTCTATCCCTCTCGATGAACCTGCGGGACATGATTCGGGCAGACTCAACTCGAGCCATGGCCCGCCTATCAAATTGCCCGTCTTCAGGGGGCTGTAAATCTTCGACACTCAGACCCATCTGGTTTAGCTCATATTCAAGCGCATCTAGCGAGTCGTCTTCTTCTTCGGCCATCTCACAACAGTAGCAGAGCCGCAATGAATGACTTCTCCGGAGAGCCGCCGCCCCCGGGGAGCTGGGCGGAGAGCATGGCGGGGGCTCCGAAGTATCATGCAGAAATCATGAAGTCGACGGGTAACGAAAAACGCGGCGGGATTTACCGTAAAATCTGAAACCGTCACTTCTACCAGCAACCTGCAAGATTGCAGTGCAGGGAAGCTCGTCCGTGTGTGGTACAACGGATGTGCTCGATGACCGAAAACAGCACTTGAGAGTGGCCATAGCTGCTCGCCTCCGCCTCTAACGAAACGTATGCGGCTGATAAAGTCGCAAGGTTACTCGTTGGTTGCGTCTTCAAACGTGAACGGGTATGGGATTGTCGTTCCGAGCGTCCCGTGTGCTGGAGCGACTACACAACGCGATACAGGTTCGGGGGCAGCACGGCCTTGATGAGTTCCGCGCTCGGCTAGACGAGCAGCGCCTCCATGACAAGCGAGAGGCCACTGAGACGGAGTTCATCGCTGCGGCGGGTGGTGATGATGGCGTTCTCTCTGGAGATGAGGCGGCGATCCTTTTCAGAGAGCTCGGCGGCAAGGACAAGAGCATCCCCTTTGCCGAGGTGCTGCTGTCCTACTGCGTTTTATGAACGTCTCTCTCAGTACTGCCCTGATCGTTTCCTCTGCTGTATACACCCTTTCTTCGCTCTGTTTAGACTACGACACAATCCCGTAGCGTGTTATCCTCGCGTACATTATGTGCTCATTATGTGTTTTTTGTTGGTTACGGACATGTACTGTAGAACACTTTATCTACAGACTACGCCAGCAATGCCAGAGATCTGTGTCAACTGGAGGGACTTGGCATCTCCACGGAGAGAGTTACAAATCCCAAAGGCATGCATACTGCGGTAAACATCGGATGCAACAAGCAGCACTTTCGTAGCACGACATTGTTCTGTGCAGCTATTTGTGCGTTATTATCCTATTTTTCCGGACGTCAATATTTGTTTGCATATTTTGCACCTTTCGAAATGTTTTCGTCGCGCCAGCCTGGGTCACTGGAGACCACATAGGAGTTATCTGCTCTCGACCTTCTTTCTGCGGTGCTTGCCTTAACCTTACGAAGAAAACTCATCTTCGCGTGCTGTTTGTGTTATCCCGTGCAGATATTGCGAGCTTTGAGGTCCCCGACCAGCTGCCAGCGGGTAGCTCTAACACGGGCCGTTTTCGACATGATAGATCAAGACCGAGATGGGTTGCTCAGCCGTGATGAGGTGCAAGATACCTCCAAAGATAGAACACTGATTGGGATATGAGACACTCGCAACTCACACGCATTGCCAAGTTGGGGTTTTGCTACCTTGCCTTCAAGGTGATAGTGAGCTTTGGTCTAAGCACGGGTGAATGTGACGTCATTCGTATGCGTCCAGACGTATTAATCATGCGTCGTTCGAGCATAGGTTGAAGAATAACCCGTTGTAACGGAGCACAGAGAGAACCGACCTATCTAGGACTTGGGTGGAATTTCAAACAAGGCACGTCGTGACCTCCCCGTATGATGTTGGTGTTGCCCAATGCACTGGAAGCGTGTTCACTCGTCCATTCCGAATCCTCGGCGGAAAACGTTTCATGGTTTTGTCAGATAATCGCTTGCTACCGAGCCAACAACCACCCGTATGTGCGACGTGGAGAGAAAGCCTCGGCCGCAGTCCAGCAGGACTTCCTTCACACGCTGTCCAACATCACAAGCACGGACTTGCACAACAGTCATGGAACGATGGTGTCGTTCCCCGCTTTCCTCGACTTTTACTGCTCTCTCACGGCATTTACAAGCGATACCGACTTCAGGTGTGAGATACCGCCTGACGAGGTTGTCCTGTTCCCGCATACTGCAGGTTGCATTTCCTTTTGGCAATTTCAGTATGGCTATTCTTCAGAGGCCGCCAGAGGCCGCTTGCCTTTCAAGGTCTTGAGTCATGGGTCCAATGCCATCAGCAAACCACACACGCAGCAGGCTAGATCAAGCAGCATCTGAAACTGTTACTCGGGAGAGACCTGGTCCAGCACGATAACGAACAGCCTCTGACCGCTGTCCTGATCACCCTCGATGCCACCGTTCTGCATTCTTCATCGCCTAGGGACGCCATCGTGGCGGTGTGGGTGCCCCCGGTCGTCCTAGACAACGATCATGTGCTCCACACCCTCGGTGCTGCCGGGGGTCTTGTCGCGAAACTTCGCTCTCAGATCCTCACCAACGGTTTGCCGGGAGTTGCGGCTTTCTGTAGAGGCGTTCGAAAAGCCGCACGAGGAAGTGACGGGGGTGGTAAAGAAATTACCCAGGAAGCGTTCCGCGCCGCTGCTAGCTCTGCAGGTGCTTCACTAACGGTGAGCTTTCGTGGCGTGGTATTCTTATACTCGAGGTATTGAAGAGCTACGAACAGAAATGACCTGGTGTGCTCTGATACTTGTCTGCTCCTGACATGTGCAACTACTCGTTTCTGAACGACGCAGGCTAGCGAGATGTCGCAGGCGTTTCGACATTTAGACCGTCGAGGGGTCGGAAAGATCTACGTAGCGGGTGCTTTGCGCGCGGTGCGGGGAGAGATCAGCAAGCGTCGAGAGCATGTGATCGACGAGGTGTTCGACTCACTGCTCTTCAGGCTTGGCGGTGATAGCGACGCTGGTGACGGGCAGCACAGCCACACGCTCGAACCCGTGGCAGTTGCAAAGCTCTACCGTGCGGAAGCTCACCCGGACGTGGTATCTGGGGTACGAACACAGGCGGAAGTTTTGTCGGAATTCCTGGAGGCCTTCGAAGGTAAGCAGGTCTCCCATCACTTGCTTAGTGGCCACCGCGTTTCACAACGGGATCGAATAATACCTGGAGCGTCGACGTTGAGAAGTTTGGGAACCTCACGATGTCATTTTGTTTTCTCTGTGCTGCGATGTGCTGTATTCCACGGCAGACGCGTGTGACATGCACAAGTATGTACACGCTGTGAGGCATGGTGCTTGTTGGTACTTCCTCCCGGGAGTTCAACACTAACAATTGTGGTCCTTCTCCGCTACCTGTGCACCAACTCTCACTAAATGTTTTAAGTAGGTGGTGGGGAAATCGATGGAAGGGTAACTCAAGGGGAATGGCGCGAGCACCACCTGCAAGTATCGGCTACGATGGCCGACGACGACTTGTTCTGCGAGCACATGAAGTGCGTTTGGGGATATGGCAACAAAGAAAAAGCCACCCTCGAAGCCTCGCACGTTAGCAACCACGATCTGACTGGGAGCACCACCACCAACAACTACAACACTGCAATTCGAGGCCCGAATGGTGCACACGGTAGCGTAGAACAAGGAGACGGCAACAGCGTTTCCAGTAAGAGCAACGGCGACGGTAGACAGAGAGGTGGAGAAGCTGGCGCAAATTCCCCGTTCGCGGCCCGCGAAGCCTGGGCCCCTTCCCCTCCAGCAGCCAGCAACGCCGAGCGAGGCCCTATCCTACACCAAGGGAGCGCAAGGGACGCCGCCACGGCGGCCAGGCTATCCCCGGGAGTTCTCGGCCTTTTAGCGCGTGCACGCGGCAGCCTTGCCTCGGGGGGTATGCGTGCGGCGTTCCAGCTGCTCAAGGGCTTCCGGGAGGAAGACCAGGGGGACGACGGGAAGGTCACTCTGTCCGGGTTCAAGAAGGCAATCGGCGGGGCCGCGTTGGGGTTAGGGCTAAAAGAGGCAGAGATGCGGATAATATTCCAGGTGCAAGAACCCCACTGTTAGTTTCCGACTAGAGTACCATGCGCTATCACCAGCGCTTGATACCACTATGAAAGTGTGATGCGAAGTTTCAGGCTGGCGGTACGATATCCATGGAATTCCAAAGCACCAGCCTCTGCTTTTCTTAAAAAAGAGATGCTGTTTCACCCACGGCAACTATAGACAAGATACGCAGGGGAACGAATGCCTTCAGCTGTCACCCCCACCCCCGTGGCCCCTCATCGTAGCGCTCCTACCTTGCCGAATCCTTCGGTGACGAAATGAAGCACGGGGAATGCGTAAAGTTCAAATACCAGAGTCTAACCCGTGATAAACTAGAGCGGACGTCATATCCGAAAACGCCAATGATGCGCTATTGACGTCCACGATCTCCGCCTGCCGCCCTATTATGTTTCGGATGACGTGAAATGACACGGGATGACACGAAGCATTTCGACAAAGAAGGAGACGGCGAAGTGCCCTACGAGCTATTCCTTCGCCATATCAGGACCACGCTGCCGGATGGACGCTTGGCTCTGGCCCATGAGGTCTTCGATCGAATGGGTAAGTTGGAGGTCCCTGTATTCTTTCCTTGTCACCTTTTATTGATCTCTTACCGTGATTGTCGCGCATGTGGGAATAATCCCATCTCTTGGAAGTGACTTTTCGGAGTGCGCTCCAGTCAGTCATAGTTTTCAAACGCCATGTATCCTTAGGACAAACAGCAGACCAAAAAGCGGGTGCATTATTGCCTTCTGTAGCTCGTTTACTGCAGGATTGTCGAACATCAGGTTAGAATTGATCCGCTCTCCGACAACATGCTTCAAGCACTACTGTAGGTTTTGATTGCTCCACACAGCGTGCGTTGGATACGAAACATGCTTGTCGTCAACTATTTGCAACCCATGTTGCAATCCTTTCAGTGCGCAGTCACCAATGGCAACATCCCCACCTTCTTTTCTGCTTACGCATGTTTTGCCCATAGACGCGGACGGGGATGGCCTGGTTTTCGTCGATGATGTCGCGCGCACTTTCAGGGCTGGCACACACCCGGAAGTCGTGGAAGGTTCTCGCACGGAGGAGGACGTGCGAAGGGAGTTCCTCGAGTCGTTCTCCGGTATGTTCAACCAACCAAAGCAGTAGAGCACAGCGTACAAGGCAGAGTGTCAACTCGCGACGGGTTGTGCAATGCTTGTAGAAACGAAGGACGCCGGCGTGTGGGCCTACTAACGCTGGTGACATGTTCAACACCAGGCCTTCTTTGTTTGCCTTGCTTAGATGCGTCTCGTGCGGACTTCGAACAAAATGAGTCGACCCTCAACCGGGATTTGGTGCAATGTCCCGTGGACAGCGTTATATGTGACGCACCTGGTCTTGTGCGACAAAACACCCCCTCCTCGCAGTGACGGACGGATCCCACAAATGGTGCACACGGGACGACCTGATCTGGTGGATGGAGCTCTTGTCTTCCTCTCTGCCGAATGCGACGCCTGCGGCCGATGACGACCTCCAATTCGAACGTGTCGCCAGAGCTTGCTGGGGCATTCCGGTAAATGCCCCTGGTATGCCGGGGAGTCAACAGGACGGTGCTTTTGGCGAAGCGCCGCAGTATGTTAGCGTAGTGGTCACGCACGCTGACGGGTCGATCACCACCGAGAGGGTCTCTCGGCAGGAAGTTGAGGTACACCCAGACGGCAGCGGCACTCTTTTGATCTCCGAGGTGCAGGCAGAAAATATTCGTCGTCAGTTGTCCCGGCGAGGTGTGCACGCCGTCCATGTCCAGCTCCTCAACGAACAGAAGGGAACTGTCAATGCAAGCCCAGAAGCAGCGGGATCGTCACAGGAAACCGCCGATGTAAAACATGCCGGGTCCACCATTCTGGAGGGGTCGTCCTGTTCGCGTCCGCACGGCGTGCTCCAGCTCTCAGCGGACGAGGTCAGGACCGCCAGATTGGGACCTTCGGGACACGGGCAACAGAGTCGTGGAGCTGACTGTTTTGGGGAGGGTGAAGCTAACCTTGGCTTTGACCACGGCATGCTCAGGTGAGACGGGCGGGGGTCAGCCACACAGTAAAGGGGATTCAACGTTTTGGGTTTCATGCCAGCCATTTATCGGCTTGCAGTGAATGACTGCTGCTCTCGATGTTGAAAGTCGAGCACAATGTGTTTACAGCTACTGTGACAATATCCGTCGAAAGTTCCTCTTCGTCAAACTCGTGGTGTGCCCCCCCCACCTCGCGCGTGCTTTTCCCAATCGCAGCGTGCTGCATATGGCTCGGCGGCAGTTGGCCCTTCGTGGGCCGGTCGGTGTCTTCGCCCTTTCCAAGCGCTTACGCTCAGCGGCCTATTTCCGTTCTAAGGCTGCTCCTTCTTCCCATCCAGCATTCGTCGCTGCTGCCGCTGCTGCCGCCGCCGCTTCCATGGCAAACAGCTCGTCTGGAGTTGCGGCCACTGATAGAAATACCGGTCCGTTTCTGTCCCTGGGAGCATTCAAGGATGCGTTGTCGGAGGTCAACTGTGGACTTAGCGGCAAAGACTTGACGAATATCTTCACGCATCTTGACGATGCGGGCCGCGGCGAGGTAGATGCTTGTATGATTTCCTTGTCGATGCTGATTTTGAGTTTCATATCCGTGTATGGGACCGATGCCTTCGTTGTAATACGGTGGGTGAGGACAGGGATCTCAAGCATGTATCTTGGGGATTTCTTTCCTGCGTGGAAGACTCTACAATAGCACGTGAGCTATTCCACACATGTCAGCGCCGCTCGTTCATCTTCGTGGCGTTATCCTTGCAAGCACAGTTGTATCCACTGGCCTATTCATATGCCGTACATGACCGACCAGTTGCTCGTTAAAACGTTGTGCAGGTGCTTGTAGACGTGGCGCTCGAAGCTTTTCGCGGTCGTTTGACAGGCGTAAGGCTTGCACTTGTGAGAGCAGCGTTCACAAGGCTCAGAGGAAGCGGGGATGCCCCGCCGGACGCTGTCGCGGCAGTTAACGTTGCGTTTCAGTTTAATCCAAGGGGTCACCCAGACGTCATAGCGGGTCGTCGGTCTCCTGAGGTAAATTTGTATGCGAGGAAACCGCGGCGTGAAACGTGCAAACCGTGGGGGTGCGCTGCGTGGTGGTATGAACGAGAATCTCTCAAGTCCGTCATTTCTCTCTTCTCTGGCGCGCCGGTATTTCTTGGACTGCTTTCGTTAAACTTTGCATCGGCAAGAGATTGGGGGCCGGGCGTCAGAATGTGGTGCCAAAAATGAAATCTTAAGGAACCATTTTGCTGGTGGCAACGCTTTTCCATGTTGACGGGGTTGCGAGAATGAAAGTATCGTCATTTGCCTTGGGGTTTGCAGTCGCAACGGACCCCTGCCATATTTCTTTCTTCCACATTTACGCATTTTCGACGAACCCAAGTATATTCATTCTCGCCGTCATATTCAAAACGAAAATGAGCTTCGCATGCGGTTTGTGATATCGTGTTTATGCCTGTGTCTCATCGCCCTCTTCAGGATGTTCGAAAGGATTTCATGGACGCTCTCACGACCACCAAAGGCTTCGTCACACGAAAGGTGGCGATCAGTACACGTCGGTAGCAGCGTTCATCATATAGACCTCGTTAGACGACTAGGACACAATATGTTTAAATCAGGGTTGATTCTGAGTCAAAGTCTAAAGCGATAGCGTGGTAGTTTGTGCGCATGCGCATGGCTGGAAGACAACTCGCATGCATGCAAAGGTTCTACACCTGCGGCTGCACCAGAACCTTTCCGAGAACCACCAAGAAGGCGTACGATTTATTTGTCTTCGTCACATTCGACGCCATGCTCGTCATGGTAGTGCTTGAGAACTGCGAGTAAAAGTGGGGGTTTCCTCGTTGGCCTCGCCCTCATGAATCTCCCGCCCGTTCGCCGTTGTACAACCATTTGTTTTTACGTCTGCCCCTCCATCCTCCACACACTAGGACTTCGAATCGTACTACACCGACGTCTCCGCGGCCACTCCCTCGGACGCCTACTTCAGTCTCCAAATCCAAGCTTGCTGGGGGCTGGGTCGCGCCACCATCGACTCTACCGCCGCCTTCGCTGATGCCAATACGGCTCCACATTCCGGCACCGGGGCTCCTGCGGGTGAACATACCGCAGGGCTGGGCAGAGACTACGACCCCGCCAAATCACGTAGGACGTACTCCAAGGCTAGGACCTCAGCAGCCCCGGGTGTTCTTCCGGGGACGGCAGAGCGGGGAGATAAGCCGGCGGCGGTAGCGGTAAGGTGGGGGGATCAAAGCGGCATGCGGACGCCTACTGCCGGGGTGGCGGCGATCCTCCGGAAACTGGGGAAGGAAGTTCAGGGGCATGGAGCGGCGTGGGGACTGGCGGGGCTAAGGCGGGCGTTGTTCAACGCTGACGGGTAAGCTCAAATCAGCGCCTACCCTACCGTGAACACGTACAGATTGTACACGTGCACACCTCACGACAACGAGGACGTCGCCGGACTCCCGTACACCCATAACAAATATTCTGTAAACGTTCCCATACGACGGTTTTATCCAACGCTCCCCTGACCAGCAATAAGGACGGATTCTTATCCTTCGGGGACCTTAAAGCGGCACTGTCTTCCTCAAGGGCCGGACTGACCATACCAGAGGTACGTGCTCTGTTCACCCACCTCGAGACGGAGGGAGGGCCGCGCCGCGCCGGTGGTGGGGGTGGAGACGGTAGCGGTGTAGTTCCTTGGCAGGCACTGCTGGATGCCACCAGGCCGCCGTTGAGCGGGGAGAGGCTCGGGCTGGTGCGCCTGGCGTTCGGGAAAATGGACAAGGAGGGACGGGGCCACGTTTCTCCTGAAACAGTCACGCAGAGGTGCGTGGGATGCTGGAGTGGTATGTGGCACAATCGTGTCTGTTGGATGTGGGCTGTACAGAAGTAGTCTAGTGCAAGGTTGGTGATCACCATCATTGTGCTACATGAAATGTATTCTGCATGCCAATGCAGTTTTCCAGTATTTGATCATGCGTCGTCTGCGTGAAGAGCGGTTGCAATATCCAGCTCCTCGAACTTCAGCCGCGATACCGGACGTTCTTTTCCCCGTACTGACGCGTTAATGTACCTCCTTAAAAATCTACCTCTTCAAATGCACCTACCGATGCCCCTTCTCGGTGCCAGATTTGTTGGCTCAAGGCACCCCGCGGTGCTAAGAGGTCACGCTACGGCAGAAGAAGTTCGGCAAGAACTGCTCGATACGTTCTTCTCGGCCGGAGCCAGCGAAACCACTGCAAGAGAAGAGGTAACAAACGCCCCCACTACCCGTGGACTTTCCGGTACCTTGCATCTTAGCCTACTCGCCGGAAGACAGCAACTAAGTGACACACGTTCAATTCCATCTGTTCCGAAATGAACTATTTTGCCATGAGTTCCATGCCCCCATGTGCGCGGTGTCAACCGATACGATCGAGCTATTCGCTGTTCGAAAACATCACAGTATCGAAACATGGCGCCCCCTCACACTCCTACCCCTCCGTCTCCCATCAAACCATTCGTGCCTACATGCCTGTCTGGCGCGACAGCAAGTATCAGAGAAAGACTTCATCGAACACCACGCTAATCTCAGCTTCGGCATAAAAAGGGACGAAGATTTCCGCGAGCTCGTCATCAACTGCTGGGGGCTCGATGGTGGAGCTGTCGGCGATGGTGATGTGTGTATGCCGGCGGATGTCGCCGATATGCTTCGTCGGGTCAATGCCCCACGGAGGAAGTTTCTGGTGTCGTACGCGGACGGGTCGCAGCGCGTGGAGGAGCTACCTTTTTCGTCAAAGGTGACTTCGCTGGCTGGCTTTCTTTGGCGTGTTTCTGGACATGATATATCTATCTTCACACCTTCCCCGAATAAACTGAAAGCGATTGCGGTTTGGTACATGTATGCATATATCTTTCTATTGGCATCCGTGGCCAGTGAGTGTTAGGCCGCCAGCGAACCTGCAGTGTGTTAGTAAGGCTTACCCATTAACAAAGGATACACGCACGGGTTCGAATCCCAGCTGGTCACTTTCACAAGCACCATTAGCTCTTTTTCCGGCAGCGCCTGGCGAGGGGTCCGTCCCCGGAGATCCCTACTTCCAAAAATCTCAGTGACCAGCTGGATGGCAACGAGCCGAGAGTATATATTTTGTTAGTAAGGCTTACCCATTAGACTACTTAGTCAGAGCTGACTAAGTAGTCTAATGGGTAAGCCTTTCTAACACAGTGGGATCTACACATATGCGTGGTCAACTAAATATCTTCATTGGTGTCGCATAAACCTCCTGCCCATCTTTCTAACCTAGGGTTCTGAGCAAAGAGAGGCCGAAGGCTCGCTAACCGCAGCCGAAGAGCGGGTGTTGAAGCGGGAGCTTCTGAAACGCGATGACATCCACGCCACACAGGTAAAAGCAAAGAGAAGGGCTGTGACTCTTGCGTATCTTAAGCGTCGTTCGATGTATCTCTGCCTTATCCCGCGCACGCAGAGACGCTTGTTCAGAGCTGCCGTGTTCAAGGAGGGGATGGACTGGAGACAGGTCCATATCTATCTTCATCAAAGCAAGAAGGTTCTAGTCCTGTCAGCTGAGTCATGCTCTCTTCCGTAGGACTCTTGCCTCCACCGAGCAAGTCCAACAACCGAACCTGTTATGTAGGGTGGAACCTGTTTGCTTCATGGGCTCGGCAATCTCCCTTCCTTCAACTTACGCCAAACGGTATGCTCACCTCCTTTTGATTCAAGAGCGACACGAATCGTTGTCAAAATCAAAGCAAGCACAGGCCCACGATGCCTCACCGACGCACAACGGCAATTTGTCTGACACGTGACACACTCCTGACCGCACGCACGAAATGTGTCACACCATGCCGTTCAATGGTTGCACCCATCTCTTGCATTTTCAACAGGTGACTCTCCTACCGCGCACGTACTCAGAAGAAGGAGGACCCCACTCCGCCCTGGAAAGCTCCCTCGCCTCCGCTCAGGAAAACCCTGCTGCAGTCGACCACCGTCCTGCCTGGACTTGGGCCCCAATGAACCTCTCGGAAGTCCAAGATGCTGCTGCCGCCGCTGCCAACGCCGCCGCCCCCGAAAGTAGCGTGCACGAGGAAACTGGCAATCAGCACGATCAGAGTGGGTTGCACGGCTCACTCGTTTCATCAGATGGTATTGGCAAGGAGAACGACAAACGGCCAGCCGTTGGGGATAGAAATGAGTTCGATGCCACCGAAGTGGTGGAAGTGGATTGGGAAGGGGAGGAGGGCGACGGAGGTGGGGCGGGAGGGCGGGCGCGACAGCGGATGAGAGCGGGCGGCAGGAGGATTCAGGCGGGAGAGGGGCGGGAGGCCGACCTCAGCATGATCTATCTGCTTTCCAAGGTCAAAACACAGATATTCAGCTGTTTGAGGACGTTGCTTAACGGGAAGCAGGAGTAAAACGACCCATCTAAGTACAGGTCGCTTCCTAGCCGAAAATAGATGTTGAAGTGTTTCCCTCTTCACTCTTAAGCAGGGCCATAAAGGCCTCGGCACTGTTGCCGCTGACTACGGACGCCATCAGCGTCCGTCACAATGTCAACATTCCAATGGTACCGGCATACACACCTCTATGTTGTAGACATTGATTGGACCACAATACTGCGCATATTCTATCGATCACCTTCGGTTTGTCCTTCCCGCCATCCGGTCGTCGAAGAGAATTTGAAGAACAACGAAATTTTGCTTCTTGTTCTTTCAGCTTCGCTCGGAGCTCCACGCCAGCGGAATTTCAGGAATGGCGAACCTCATTCGTCGGCTGCGAGAGGCGGCCGTGTTGCTCGAGATTAAGGGTAAGGAAAGCTGCTACGGGGTCGGGGAGGTCGACGTTCGCAGAGCTCTACGAGAGGCGAATCTTCCTCTCACCGAGTCAGACATACGTCGAATCTTCTCCCACTTCGAGGTGCGTGTGTGCAGTCTTCCTTGCGGCTTGTTGTGAAAGAACACTCATGGGGGCTCCCACTGGTGGTGGAAAGGGGGAAAACAGGAGCAGCTGCAACTACGCTCTCGAAGTTCACGGAATTCGCTTTTTGAAACTTCGGTGCTCCCCACTTTCCTCTTCATGGGGAACGAGGAAGCGGACGGCCCCTGCTACAGACGCTCCATCAAGTTTGTAAATGGTGCGCGATACGTTGATGCCCTGCCACCTTTTGCAGATGGGGCAATCTGGAGTCATGAACCTTGGGGCATTGATGGACCGGCTAAGCGGATGCATGGGCAACGGAAGGGTGGTTCTGGTGGACGAAGCCTTCGATAGGCTTGACACAAGTGGCCAAGGGCACTTGACGTTGGACAAGGTATGCTCGTTGGTGGTTTGACCGTTTGACCGTCTCGTGTCAGGCCGAGCGAATCACGTTTGACTTGCAAAAGAGTACAAACCCTACTTTAAAATCTAACCTTGGACTTCGTGTCGTGTCAATTGATTTGAGTGATTCCTGAGCTCTCTCTCGCCTTTGCCTACCAAAAAATCAAACCCTCATTTTGCTTACCGGAGGCAAGCTGTGCTGGTGTCATATGAGGTGGACGTAGGGGCGTACCCGCACTGTTGGTCTCCCGACCTGCTACGGTAGTGCCAACTCTGCACCACCATTTCTGCATCCCGCGCGACGTGCTTAATTCCTTTAGGTCATCGATTCTTTTGATGCCACGAAGCACCCTGCCGTTGTTTCCGGTCGCCAGACACCGGACTCGGTGTTCAGAGACTTTGTTGACGGGTTTATCGCAGGGTTTCCTCCGGATAAAAGGGTGAGTGCGAACGCCATGGAGGAGTGGTAGTTTAGGCGATTTGTACGAATCTTCCACGGTGACAGCACCGATTCCTCACAGGACAATTTGTGAGTGGCCAGATCGTTCCGCTGCCCTTGCTTGAAGCAGGAGCTAAAAGCACGCCTTTTATTGCTAAAATGAAGTTAAATGTTCGAGACTTGGCTCCCTTGGCATCAGCCCCCTGTGGTGTGGCTGCGCCTGTGCTAAGCTTCTATCATGAGCGTGCTAGGCCGTTTCCTGATAATGGAAATTGGGAAAATCCACTGACACGTAGCTGCATAGCGCCAGAATCGGCTCGACGTCAGCACTGCTAACAAGAAACCCGGGCGGCGGCAACAAATCTCATGCATCGACAGCAGGATGGAGCCAGAGTCACGAAAGAGGACTTCAGGAGGCACTACGATGTGATATCGGCCACCATCCCAGACGATGGATACTTCGAGCTTCTACTGAGGAGCTGCTGGCGCATGTAAGTCCTCCGTCACTCTGCGAGTCCCTAGGAGTTTCGGCAGGCATTTCTAAAACCTTGACATGAAGAATTCATCATTTGAGTCGTTTTTCGATCGAACATGCATTTCGATGTCTTTTCTGCACTATGAAAGCGCGCCACGCTGTCCAGAGAAACCGAAGGCACTGCTGACGAAGCAGATTTCATCATTAAGTTAGTCCCCTTTACCGGAATTTGTTTCCCTCATTTTCCACCTCGAACAGGCGTGGCCCTAGCGGCGTCGCAGGCGTTGCCAACACCCAAGATGGTTCATTTGTACCCCCGGGCGGCGATACCAGAGGCGACGACGGTTCTAACGAACGCAACCCTCCCAGTCAGGCAAGAGACAATGGCGTATATCCCATTGGAAATTAATCTTTGGGTTCCCTGAGGGTGGGAGACTCACTTGCAAACAAGGAAGGGCTTTGCCAGTGCACGTATGAGAACTAAGCTAGCAGGTGTAGGTCACGACCAGAAGTTATTCTTTTTTCACGCCTGCATCTCCCTCCTTACATTCAAGCAGCTTCTCCAGACTCAGGTTCTAGGACGTATGGTGTTCGCCGCCTACCCGTTCTGGTATGTCAAAGGCGGAAGGAGGTTCAACTTTCGACCGGAAACCTCCCGCATATGTGCTGAAACCGAGCATTGGCGCGATCACCACAACATACTCCGCGACTGCTCTTCGGTCGGTGGTTAAGATTTAAGACGAATGTCAACTTTGCCCTTTAATCTTGCGTGCTTGGACTCCGAAAGCCCCCCGTCCCTCCCCTGGTCCCATGCTTGTGTAACATCTTTGACAACGTAGCAGCAGGAGACGAATAAGAGACACTATCACGGTCAATCGCACCGCCAATTCCACGCCAGCGGAGACACCACCAAAGGCGGCAGCCCTAGGACCGGAAACGACCTCTACGGTTCCGCGCCGTTGCCCCCCCCGCCCAACGAAGGCCGCGAAGGGTCGTTCAACAGCCTGAGAGAGAGTCGTGCCGCCGGATCCGGGCTCGGCGGCCGCTCCGGCATCGGACCGAGCGACCAAAACCGACTGCTCCGCTCCGCGGTACTGTCGAGAACTTTCGACTCCCAGATCCTCTTTGGCAGCACCAACGAAGGAGGTGATGATTCCATAGGACGCTTCCAAAGACCAGGGGCCGCTGAGGGTGATGATGCCGGGAAGTCTCCCCCGCCACCGGCAGGGGGCGGGAGAGTCGGGCGGGTGGCAGAGGGGGCCGCGTGGACACCGGGAGGTAGGCGTCTCATCCCGGGGTCGAAGGCCTTCGTCTCGCACCTGGGCAGTGACATGCTGACAAAGAACGAGCCAGGTGCGGAGGACGACTACCGGACGAATAACACGAGCAAGCAGCTCGTCTCCGCATGGAAGTCTCGAGCGGCGGCAGCAGCAAGAAAACCACCGGTCTGGGTACCTAAGCCGGATCCGAAAAGCGCCCGGCCTGTCGCTGCAGGCAGTGGCCATCTCTCTGCACGGAAATGCGGGAAAGTCGCCAACGACGGCAGGGGAGCCTCAGCAGGTGCCGCGGGTAAGAGCCCCTATGACTCCCTTTCCCTCGCACAGCTCATGAGCAGTAAAAAACAAACAAACGCCGGACAGGGGAAGAAGGATTGCCGAGCGGACGGCAGCGTTTCGTCCGACAGTGGACACGCTACTGCCTCGGCACGGACAGCCGTGGAACGCAACCAGAGCTCAATACCGGGCGAGGAACGCCAGGAAAGACGCACCTCGGAACGACCCTCTGAGCGCGAGATGAACGGTAGAGGGGGAGGGGGGGCATTCGACTGGTGGGGGGGAGCCAGTGCGTTAGATACTGGAAGCGAATCCGCGAGAGACAGGAAAAGAGGGATGGTTGGGGGAGGCCGGAATTTCATACCGCAGCCTCAAGCCGTGTCAGACACCTACAAGTCTAGTCTGATACTTGGGTAGAAAACTTAAAGGAAGGTCGAGGCAAAAGTTAGAACGGACACACCGTACGTTGTCGAGTGCCACCCAGTCATGCAACAGCGTCCTTGTCAGTGCTGATGCCGACAACTGCAGTTGGTGCACACGGCACACGGCACCCAGGTTCAAAACCTTGTCGTTGTTGTTGTTGGTTGTTCTTGTTCTTGTTCTTGTCTTCGCAATAAGAGTTATCCGTACCGGTCCAACCGCCAGGCGCCTTCCATGGTCACAGGCCAACTACCCCACAAAGGGTACGCACTTTTAAAAATGAAATGGAAATAAAATGGATCTAGAAAATCCTCAAATAGACGACACACAACAAGAGACACGTGTAGGCGATCAAACCCGCAAAAAGAAAAACGGAACAAAGGAAACACGTGGACACCAATAAATCGGCATACCGTTTACCGCACGCGCTGAGGCTTCGTACATGCTACATCACCTCAGGCTAAGACTAAGTTTTCATGGTGCCTCTATGATGTGCAACAAGATAAGGATTTGCATGCGCTCCACATCCTGCATTCACGACAAAAAAGAGACATGCGAAAAGCCACACAAACGCCAACTCGCGCATGTCTTTCGTTGCATATTGACTTCCTGTGCAAGACTAGAAAACGGACAAGCGTTGCTATCTAGACTATGGAGCGACGCCGGCGATAGTTCTGCCGGAAGAGGAATCGCCTAGGTCGGACACCCGGTAGATATAGGCATGCAGTCCTTCGACCACGAAGGTCGCCACCGAGACCCAGCCCCTTATCTGGAACTGGGAAAAAATTATGAAGTGCGAGCGTGCACAGGAAACATTACTGGCGGCGTTAGTTGCCGTGTCAGTTGGCGTGCGTATCATTGAGTGGGCTACCCTATGGCGCACTTCGCGCAAACCAAACTCACCCCGACCGACACGACGCGGGCACCAGGGTCGGCTTCAGCTTCCAGCTTCTCTTTCATCTTGGCCAGACCCTTAAAAAAGGTTAGGCCAACAAGCAGCGGCAACCGAAGTGTGGGCGAATATGCCATGGGGTCAAGCCGGAAGAGTTGCTGACAAGAGTTCGTTGACAGAGTAGGGTATCGACGCCCAACGAGAAACGACAAAACAAGTTCCTCTGGGGGATTTCGTAGGGAGTCCTGTCGACCGCGACCCCGAGCGTATCAGAACAACGTGATTCATACAATATATAATAACACTACTACAATACTGTATAATACTACGAATCAAAATGCCCTGTAAATTTGGCGCACTACCGGGTGCAGCGCCCTTTACCAGAAGGTGCCAGCGCCACGCTACCACCACGGGCTACTACAGTCGCCGCACGATCTTGCGGCAAAATAGGTATAGCTTACAGCTCTGACTTTTGCTTAAAAACCCAGTGTTGTGCGGCCTGAAGAGTACGGAAGAGGAGGTAGGCACCGTAGAGTTCAGGTTGTTCGGTAAAGATAACAACGGCAACAACAACGACTCGCTCGCACTCTCGTAACAATTTCTAGCGTGACACACCGCTCACCTCTCTGAACAGGTACACGATGATCACCGTGCTCCCTGCTAGTGGCGCGACGAATATATCTTCCTTGTCTAGCTCAACCAAGGAAGATACCTGTGCAGTACGGTTTCATGGCATACAGCACAGCCGGGAAGCAAATTTTACATTACAATCTTGTTTCTGTAAGACATTCAGTCACCGCTGACACACAGAGACAAAGTGCACAGAGACAAAGTGTGCTACAGAGTCTGGCCAGCAACAACAGACGACATTATTTCGCATTCTCTCGCCATTGGCGAGACATGTCTTTGCACTACACAACATCACTGCATCTCACCACTTATACGGATAGTTTATGCGGCATCGCAGTTTACAGAGTAGTGATTTCAATAGGCATCCGCTAGGCCAGCTCTTCGGCAAGGGTTCACACTTTTCCCCAGACGTTGGCGCGCCAACCGGAGGTTCGAGTCATTGCGCAGCAAACTCGCAAATTCTTTCGCTCTGTGCGATATGCCTGATATCCAGTGTTGATGCACACCTCACCCTTGCTTCCGCAGCGGCAAGGCGTCCTTTGCGCAGCAGATCTTCGTTTAGGTCCAAGCCTCGGCCTGCACACCCTCTTCGCGCCGCAGCAAGCAGCCATCGTCCATCACCACATCCCAGGTCTACCACAATGTCATGCGGTTCAAGCCGGAGGCCATCGAGCACCCTGTCAGTCACAGCGGAGACAGCAAAGAAGAGTCCACAGGTTGCTCGATTATTTTGGCGTTCACCCAGACATACAGAAGTCTAACCTTTTGCCACACACCCTGTTTTTTTTATTTTCTCAGTTTTTCGTTTTTGCGCTACAGTACTTGCACATTTTAGGAAACATAAATACAAACATACAAACACAGAAAGACATTGCATCTCTCCGCCGAACGCGGCGAGATTTCCCTTAGCTGCATTCAGTGCCCTCGTCCTCGCTACACTGCAAATAGTCTAACTCACGAGCAAGTTCGTCAACAGAAATCCCGCCAACACACAACCGGGTTAGTAGTGTATGTGAACTGACCCAAGGACATCGCATACCTCCATACAAAGCTGCTGTGCAGAGAACGTCATGGTCTAAACCAGTTCAAGATTGTCTCTCTCGTCAACAGAACTCACGTTTCAATCAAACTTTCAGGAGACGGACTTATTGGAGCCACCAAACTAGTCTCGCGAGTGTGCTCCACGAAGGTTTCCTTCGCATATTTAACCAAGGCAGAGGTGGTGCGCTTGCGATCCATTTGCGGGAAAAGTGGTGCGGGTTGTGCTTGCTTGTGATGAGCGATCTCCGAAGTTCTCAAATCTACGTAGATCTGTTGCCCATCTACGGAGATGTGATCTGTTGCCAATCTACGGAGATGTGCCGCTGAAGGAGCCGCGCTGGGCCACTTGAACACACCGCCGGCGATATCCCTGTCATTCTGTCACGGCGGCAGCAGCGAGAGCGACGTGTGCTGCTGGACAGGTCGCGAAGAGTTGTCGGGGAGACGACCTATGGCGAACGACATGCCAGAGCACGGATACTGGGGCCCGGTATGAGAAAAACCAAGCCAGACATTTTTGAAGTTTGAAAGCTGGCAGAGAGGAGGCGGTGTTGAACTGGCTTTGTGGCTCCGAGATTCACGAAGGGCAGACGAAGGACTTTCATATGTAGAGAGTCGCCATCGTGGAAAACCTGCTGTATAGCGTTGAAAGCAACATGACGTGTCCTCTCGTGTTCTTCCTCTGTTGTGTAGGAAACATGCGCGCCGTGGTCAATTTTTGAAGCAGCGGCGAATTTTGGGCTGCATTCACCCGCACTGGCTATATACCAACACAGCCAACGTTGATGTTTCTCTACCCACGACCATCACTAGCAGCGCTTCTGCCCTGAAGCTGCAGCTTGGCTGGTAGAGCGCGTGCCCTCAAAGCCCCAAGGTCACTACCTAGTGAATGTACGATGGGGCGGGCCGACAATGTGTGGCCCAACATCGTCAGGTTGTGTAGATGGAGGCAGCGCTCGAGACTACAATTTCTCGAGGAAGTACCAAAATCAACTAGCAGCAGTCGACCACGGCCTCCATATCGATGACCATTCATGCCGGTAAGGGGGGTAGTGGACAGGGGGGTGGGGGAAGGCCCTCGGAGGCAACCACAGACTGCGATGATAGAGCACTCAGGAAGACGTGAAATACAGTAGTGTAGCAGGATGGTGTGCAAGGGTAGCTCTTTCGGAAAAGTTAGAGCCAAGATAAACGGCTCTCACATTTATCGCTCTCTGCGTATCCAAGGCGGTTATCGCCCTAATATCGACGAGCTCTTGTTTCGATCACCTGCTTTGCGCGCTTGCATACGACAGGTGACGGCGACGATAGATTGGTGCGAGGAGAATTACGCGTGGTCTTACTTCATTGCGGAATTCTGGAATACGGCGAGTATGTCTGTGTTCAATGAGCAGTATTTTTTCGTCTGTAGACAAAATTACGGATCCTCCCAAGTACCATCGTTGCCCATCTGTACACCAGCTAGCCTACGACCTCTTCATCGAATCTCTCCAAGACTGCCCATTGTGACATTTTATGGTAAAGTCCTTGTGAAGCATGGCACGCCGCTTGACCGCACTCCGCAGCATTGAAGTTCGATGTCTATTTTCCTAACATTGGACAGTAGCAGTGCGATAGAAAACGACGCCGTCAGGCTACAATATTGTTGTTCGCGTTGCGTGCGGAGTTGATGAAAAAATATCCGGGTGAAGTCATGAGTGCGCGCATCACAAGTCATTGGTTTGCCACACCAAGTAAGTTTCGTTGCGAAAAGAATACCGCACGTCAGGCATGTACAATGAAAGAACAGCTCAATATAGCTCACCAATCCATGATGTATGCTATGCGTCGTATACGGTTGTACCTCCTGACGACCTGTGCTTTGCAGGTGAGCTCATTGGCCATCTTTCTCGCGGGCGTGTATGGATGGTTTATGGCCGTCGCCGACGATCTCGAGATTAGGTTCCAGGTAATGTATGCATGCGGTTGACAAAGAGAAGCTCGTCTTACCCCCTCTCTCTCGCCTAAAGTGGACGTGTTTTTAGCTTTCAGGGGTGAGCACATCTACCGGAGTATCACTACAGAGAACACGATTGGGTGAACAGTTCCACACGACCGAAATGAGGGTATTGCACGATGGGCGCCACCCGACTCGCCGCTTGTATGCCAGATACAGAAATTGTGCGCCACGATCAAGAAGTTTGCCTGAAGGATAACTTATCTCGTTCGGAGTGCGCAAAGACCTGACAAGCAACGTCTCGACGGGTGAAACAGAAGGAGATGAAACATGGCGGTACAAGACTCGGTGTTGTGTTCCCTACATTTTACGTGCTAGCAGGTCTCTCAGCTCCTGGTGGCGAGTGTTGGTATCGGCAGCGCCTGCTTCCACTGCACACTGAGGCATGCGGAGCAGCAATGCGACGAAACCCCGATGGTCTTGGCTATGCTGAACTGGTTTCATGAGCTTTTCGCGGACACATGGGAGAGCAACAGATTTCTGAGAGAGGCGATGCCGGTGCTGCTAGTCGTGTACGGTCTGGTGAGAAGAAACAATCCGCCACAAAGAAAGGAAATATTTTGAACAAGTGCTTGCGACATGGGCGTCTCGCTCTGTGCTTTGGTCAATTGCTTGTGGGGTTTCCCGCGAACACTTGCTCTTTGTCAACCCACAGTTCTCGCTCCCCTTTGAAGCGATTTCCAACAAGAATCTGATAAAACCAACTATCGTTTTGGTAACAATCCCCTTGGATCTAGAGGCTTGCAACGGTTACATCTACGTGCGACGAATTTGATACCTTAAACGGGGGATTGTTGTTGGGGTTTCTGGACCGATTGTGCACGAGAAATGCTCAGAATTCGAACGACGGGAAATCGTTTCAACACCAAATGGAGGTAAAAGTATTATGGCGAAAATAAGGAGTTTCTCAGGACCTCAGTGATGTTGAAGTTTCTTGTGGGGAACTTCTTCGAGGTACTGTGGATCGGGGACGGTGGTTGTTGTCTGCATTCAGCGAAGATGTCAGGTACTGAGGTGACCTGTGGAACGGCGTGATGCTTATGCCTCTCGTTGAGAAACTTCTGACCCCCCCCCCCCCCGACCCTCTTCATCGGCGTCCCCTAACTCGCCACAACTCCGTAGGGGTTTGCTCTCTTGCACAACATGTATCGCTGGACGACCGGATTCCAGATACACTTCATCGTGTGGGGCCTCGCCAACCTGGCAAGGTGCATCTACGTGAGCCGCGAGAAGGGAGTTGATCCTGCCACGGTATTGCTCAAGAGGGCGGTGATTTCAACCGCATTGGCTACCTTCTTTTGGGCGGTAAGCGCAAACACTCCCCAGGCCAAATTGTTCACCTCCACGGTTTCAATACTTCTCACCCTATTCGGTTGATCGATGACGCCGCTAACCCTCAATTTCTTCTGCGTGCGCTTCGCCTCTTGTCTGTATCGTTGCAGACTGACTTCCACTTCTGCAGCCACCTTCAGAGCGGGCCAATGCCGAACCCCGAAGGACACGCCTGGTGGCACGTGCTAATTGCGTGAGTCCTGCTAGTCGCTCTAGCTTGATGCCTATCCCTCCCTCGTAGCCTGGTTTGATGCTCTGAAGTTTAACCAGTCGTCATGATGTCCAGGTGCAAGTGTGATGGCTTTTGAGGGGATTATGCTAGACACTGAGTGAGATCATCGCGATTTTCATGGGAAGGAAGAGGGTTTTTTCTGTGGGTACCTCTTCTCCTTTCGTTACGCACACGCACGCGTGTAAACCTCACGCACATGTGTCTGTTCACACCTTCGAGATTATCGTCTGAGCACTTTGAACCCGTTTGGGTCCACCGTTGAAAATATGCTTCTTATGGAGCCCTATACTCCGGGTGAGCGGAGAGTCCGGAGTGTAGACGCGGCTGCTTCAACGGCTTTTGCTGGTTCTGCTGGTTCTGCTGCTTCGGCTGCTGTTGTTGCGGTTGTTGCGATGCTACTGCATTATTTTCCTTAGTTCCCATGTTTTGTACGTGGGTTGCCAAGAGAAAACGCTTCGTCGACGCCAATATGGAGCCCTCTACTCTGGGTGAGCGGAGAGTCCGGAGTGTGGTGGCTATGACCTGCCACCGGAGGCTGGCTATTTCCCTTCGGTGCGATGTGGCGAGGAATGCCAAGCGTGACCGAGCGGACTCAGTCAAGCTAGGGTGGTGCGGAGAGTGGGAGAGCCTCCGTGGACTCATTTTCCCATCCTCCTAATGATTCATCAACCATTCGCAGCTGTTGGGAATCGCAAGGGTCATGGACCCTCGGGAAACGGTATTCTATTATCACATATTCCCTCAGATCCTAATCTTCATGCACGTGTGTCTGTGCTCCCTGAATCTCCATATCCTGACCTCCACGTTCTTAATTAAATTCGCCTTCTGTACTCCACGCATGTGCCGACAATAACTATGGACGCGACGAGCCTTATACGTTGTTTCTCAGCCGAGGGCATGCTGAACGTCCGCTTGTCCCCACAAACTTGATGGGCGACTCCTCCCTCGACGTTTTCCGTCTGTGTGATGATTTTTCTTTGGAGCCCAGGTATGCGATCCTACAATGCACCTCGTTCTCAATATACCGGCGGTGCATCCAGCTAGGCAAGCCGGTGGCAATCGTTTTGAAGGGACCTTTCGGACTTTGGCCGACCGTACGGGTGGTTTAGCCGTCGCCGACGGGATCGAAAACGCGCACTCGATGGTCAACCATACAGAGGCAAGGGGGCGTTTGACACAAGCAAGAGATGTCCAGGTGGAGGAAATCTCATCTCCAACCTTGTTGTCATCAGCGGCTGCTTCGCCTCGTCGAATAAAATGTCGAGTTGAACCGGGAGCTAGTTCAACCCTCTTACTGCTGCAAGTAAGCCCGTAGGATTTTTCACTCGTTGTGTGGTAAGACTGGGTACGCTCGAATACTGTGGTACTGCGTACGTGTTGCTGCTTCCAACGCTGGACAAGCACTGCAGGAGGAATGAAAGCTCAGGACGCGTAATTGTAGGTCCCGTCATTGAAAATCTAGATTCGAATGAGGGTTGAGGTGGGGGGTGGGGGCGGGAACATAACTTGTCTAGAGACCACCACAGTTTCCCGTCACTTACGTCAATTTGCTACCGGATGGGTGGGTGGCGTTTACGGCACCATCTCGGGACCTGGACGTCACAATTGATTGGCGCTTCTCAGCCACCAAGCTCGTCGTCAGTAGCTGCTCATTGAAGACATGCTCTTCGTTGTTTGCACGAGGCTTGTCTCCGTATATATATTCCTTGGTTGTGCGTAATGTAAAGAGTGGCTTAGAGTTAAGGGTTGGTTTCCATCTGGGACATATCGGTCTCAAATCACACCTCACTACCCCTTCTTGCGAAGAAACGTTGCATCTATGTATCGTATCTCTCCAAGAAGAGGGCTAAATGAACGCGTGTTGCCGCGATGCGTGTAACGTAAAAGGCATGTATGTAACGTGTGGATGTCCAAAGCTACCCAGCAGTTTTATCTCTTATAGTCTGTCTGTGTGTTTCCTTTGGCCTCATTCGAGTTGGGTGTATGTACGTACATACCATGGGTTCATATTTCTGGCATCCCTTCATCTGGGCCGCGATGAGGGTTCGACTGATGTACCAGGCACTTCAAGTATTAAATTGGCGATTGAAAATATTTTGCTTGGATCTCTCCCCAGTTGTGTTCATAGTAGTTTTGGGTTTCCTTGATTGTTGTCTGGGAATTGTTGCGTGTTGGATAGAGTATGGTTCAATCTGTGTCGCCGTGTGAAGGTACACGCATGAAGAGAGCGAGCGAGAAGAATGCATCATTGCTTCAGTCGGGCAAGACTAAAGCTCTGCAATCTTGGACGGCGATTGCAGAGTCGACGACATCCGTCTATTTGTCTTGGCCTATGCGGGCGGGTTGCTATTTCTTGGAGGGGCGTTGGGTCTGCCTTCTGTTTTCCCTCGTCCATCTTCTGGATTGCACGGTCAATTGGCACGGAAGTTCATGAAATTGCCTAAATTCGTGCAGAAAACCTGCATGGATGGTGAGTGAAGTTGGAGTAGGAAGGTGCGGTCTAGGCTCTCTAGTAGTACGATATTCCGCGTAGGTTTGACATGCTGTTTCTTGTTTGTCATGGTATGGAACCCCCCCCTGTCGAAAATGCACCACCCGTAGCTGGATAACTCACCCCCGATCAGTGCGGGTAGTAGATAGCCTGACGTTCTCCCGACCTGTTGAAAACGAACAGTGTTTACTGACGGACTTCGATCTAAACTATGTACATCCAACGATTTCTAGAAGTAAACCGCCAAGGGATTCTTATCTTCCTCTATTTTGCGTTTCGCATGAGCGTGTTGTCGATATTGCGAGGCATGCAGAATCTCGACTAGCTACTGCGTGTGAACAGAGTGTGCCCTCCGCTGGCGGGTTGCACAGTTTGTTGGATCGCCTTGGGTGATACCGCAGAAACGTGGACGCTTGGTCGCTACCACTTGTACTTAGATTCGAACACATACTTCCCCCAGAACGAAAGAACTTACAAGTGATTATTGAGCGGTTTCTCTCAGCTCACAAAGGCTACGCGCACGAGATCACGTCGGTGCCTTCGTGAGACCTCGACCTTGACTTGTCGTAGGGATTTTCACACGAAACGACCCCGGTGTCAAACGCAAGCACTGTTTCTTGCTTCTGCCCACATTAGCATTCTGTTAAGTGCTTTCGCCTTTGTTTTTTCTCTTCTTCGCCGCAGCTGAATTCTCTAAGCTCAACAAAGCTGTGATGGCGAGGTTCGCGGCCCTGCCTCCACTAACACGAGCCCTCGCCAGCGCATGGAGCGGTTCACCTCGCATCACAGGCAAAGGAGCGAAAAGTACAAAAACCCACCTCCTCAGCATAGACGCCGCGCGCCTGCTGGCCAAATCCATGTTTTTTTCCAGCCGAGCAAAAAGATACAGCCCCATGCTGGTCGCGAAATAGTGCGCCACGGTAGAATAGGCATGTTCCGCAAGTCTCGGGAAGCCTGGTGGCCAGCAAAGTAAGCACGCCTACAAACAGCGATTCGGCCAAATTCGGCTGATTTGCGAAGGAACGTTCCACAAGTTAAACACCGCCATCCTTGCGTGGCGACACACTATGAATGTAGTGGGCGATGCGCTTGGTCAGAGTACAAACACGGCGGGGCCTTCATGTTTTACCGCAGTTGCCTTCACAACTTCTTGTATTGTATCGTCCAACACATATATTACAGTCCGTCAAGCCCTTCATCACGAGGTTCTGTCCTTACAAGGTGCTGCGACCAGAACGCGATACGCCCGGCATAAACAGCTTTCGGGCGAGAATTCATTCCTACCGCTGTTGATTCTGCGGCCCCCCTGCGCGATTGACGGCGAAGGACGTATGATCGTATGATTTGAGGCCCTCTCCATGCGGTTGAGAGGCGAGGGGGTGAGCTGTGCTCCGTTGTGCTCTTCGCAATGAGCGACATGGAGGCCGAACCGGCGGCATCACTACGACGACAGACGCAGAATAAATTGATGGTGTACCGCAGGGTCTCTTTTCAAACAACTAGAGCAAGTTGTCAAGTATGGCGCCACCAACATATCATTGTTATGCTACCCACGGATGCGCTTGGAACTTTTGCGCTCCCTCCGCCCCCCCGTCTGCGACAAACAACGCTACCATACCAGATACTAACATGTATCACATTGTACCTTTCTTACATTTGACCCAGCTCCTGGCTGTAATAATGTTTTCGACAGACCCAGCATGTGAGCCGGGCAATAGCAACGACGCTAATGCATTTTGAACTCAGAGAACACATTGCTGGGACACACGGCAATCCCGTGTTTTTGTCTGGTTGCTTGCCCGCAAGTTTTTGAATGTTGTCTGTTCCTGGGTAGCTTGGGTCGCACATCGAACGAAACGTGGGCATTCATGCACGTACGTTGGGGGTAGCGGGGGCAAGACACGTCCAGCACATGTACGTTCTGAAGGCAGGGGGAAGCGAGTGTCGGGTGTAAGGTAGCTCCGTCGTGGTGCTTGTTGATACATGTTAGTATCTGGCATGGTAGCGTTGTTTGTGGCGGGGGAGGGGGAGGGGCGCTCAAGTTTCAAGGGCGTCAATGGGTAGCATAACAATGATGTGTTTGTGGTTCGACCGGCGCCCGCGGGACTGATTATTGCGCGCTCCTAATGATGCCAAAGCTAAACACACGCACACCCTTGTGGTGGGAACCTCACGCGCGACAAATTCAAGTCGAAATTCCGCGAGCTTGTCGAATTTAGTGTGGCATCGATCTTGGTAGACGCATGCATGTTTTCGCGCGACGAAAATTATTGCCGAATCAGAAGATCAGAGGGCAATCTAGCCGCGTGAAAAACATCGGGCGGGCGTGCTCCCACCTGCGAGTCGAACTCGAACATAGGACATTCTTTGTGTTGGTGATGCAATTTATGCTGCAACGCTTGAGGCCACACGCAGAAATATTTCACCCCGACTAGCCTCTACAGACGCAGCTTAGCCGATGACGTCACAACCCCAAGAGAAAAAACACCCGAAGGACATTCAGCCATGGGAGTGGCCGCATCGAGCAGTACTTGCGTCACTGAGTACACGGGCGGAATGTGTGAAGAACGTTCGTAGGCGGGAACATTATTCCCCGACAAAAGTGAAGCATAACAACCGGCAGCCGGGCGACGAAATACCTCCTGTTCAGGATTCCTTACACCTCCAACCATTCTAAAAAGTGGCACAATTGAAAAACAGTTATAATCTATTTTACTCGAGCCTTCGTACAACGCTAAGTCTATAGTTATCTAAGAGCAACAAATACCACACGACGCATGTAGAACCTTACAGCAATATCACATGATGTCTCCAGCTCCCACGGCGCGCTGTGGTGCGCCGGACAGGACCTCATTGACCGTATCGGACTAGACTACTGCGCTCTTGGTAGGGGCAACGCGCTGCGTATGGCTAATCAATTCATACTACCATCTTTCCTCCCGCGATGGATTCTTCTCGAGGTCGAATAAGATTAGATTACTTTGGGGCAAGATAGCCGTTCCGATCTTGAATAGCTCGTTTCGAAATAAGACGTTCACATTTATCGTTCACATTTATCGGCACCTTCCACCCTACCATGACGGGAACTGAACATCCACCAGGATATACACTACAACCCCACATGGGGCCGGCGTCTCAAGACGTAGAAAACTATGCGATACTTCCCTCCGTATGATGATACTTCTACTGTTTGTAACGGCAAGCGTCAAGTCGAGGCGCGGTAGTTCTTTCCCCGGTACCACCAAGGCAGCTTCTACTGGAAGGGGAATGGAGGTGGCCCTGAGTAAGGCCGGTCGATGAACGGCACCATCTCGTTGTGCCTGTGCGCAAAGTTGCCCATGTATCGGTTCAGCTCTCTCACGGACACATACGCGTCCTTGGCAAGGGCCTGCGTGCGAGCAACGGTGGGCGGGATGGACTAACGGTGAGGGCGGTCTGTAAGCTTCATTTCCATGACAACGAGTCTACGTCGCCCCTCTTAGGCTACAGGCGGGTAGCCATTGCATTGCGAACCTATGCCTCGCACCGACCAACGTTCGCCGACATGGGGAGGTAGGGCTCGTGTGCTGGGTGCCAAGGTCAACGACCGACTACCAAATCGAGTCATAACACACACCTACCTGCAACATGTGGTGCTCCAAGTGCTTCAACTCCGCGACCGCCAAGCCAGTCACAGAGTGGATCTTCTCATAAAAGCTGGAGCAGAAGAAGGGAGAGGGGGTTAAGGGAGGCGGGCGTCAACAGAGGACCAGTGAATCCCGTTACAACCCTTGAGAGATGATAACTAAGACAGGGCATCGCACATGCGCTCATGACGGGGACCTTTCAGGTGGAAAACAGGGTTTGGTGGTTTGGTACACCACTTGCCGAAGGTCAAGGGTAACCAATTATTTGCTGCTGCACCACAATATATGTTCCTGCTTTATGTCTCGCCATAAACATCAGACAAGGAGCACGAGAGCGGGTAAATCGCATTAATTTCAGCTCGCAACGGTAACTTTAAGCCTCTCCGTACCACCGGGTGAGGATATCGAAGAAGATCGAAATTGGATTATGTGGGCAGGTGCTGGGTGACGGATGTTGCTTACATGTCGTTGAACACAGATGGAGGCTTCTCGGCGATAAACTTGATGGCGATGATCAAGCTAGCCGTGAACAGCCGATGTGCAGTAAGCGGGGTGACGTAGAGGTGCAGCTCCGAGGAGGGAAGGGCCAGCCGGTCCATGTACCTGGGTTTCAATCACGTCAGTTCACGCGGCAAGGCAACAAAGTCGCAATACGTTACGCACTGCGAAGACCACACCCAGTCATTTTTTGTGACGTGGTTTGTCTTCCTGAGCAGTAGGCAGCGGCGGGGATGATGCCGTCCAAGCGCCCAAAGGCATGCTGCTTTCTGGTGCGAAACAACAACAACAACGAGGTACTGCTACAGAGCTCGCTGGTTGAGTTTCCACGGCACGTAGACATTGTCGCCATTCTTGCCACTTTCGATCTATTTTTCGAGGCTTTTTGGCTGGTGGCAGAGGAATTATCAACACAGAGTACGATACATATCGAGAGACGCGCGTTTGTGACCATTTTCCGCGCCAGATGGTCCCATCTAACTTGGCTACCAATCCTGTTGCTTGTTACGTCACACATCCATTCGCGACTTGTAGTATTGTGGCAGCTCCTCATGCTGTTCGCGTGCCCCACTGCGGTTTCACTGCCATGACACATCCCGCTTTTCTGCACTCACACGAGGGTAAGCATGAGGCACAGGTTCGGGCAGACGATGTTGTTGGCAACTCTCTCCACGAACTCCGCCACGGCCACCGACGGCATCGTCGCAGAATGAAACACGCTTTTCTTGCGTCCCTGGAGAACACGGGCAGAACACGCACGGAAGCAAATGGGTGCCGGTGACGACATGTGTGCGGAGGGGCAACGGCCTGCTTGACGCTAAAATGGTCCGCCGTACTCGTATCGGCACGACGCGCTGGTCCCGACGAGGTACAGGGCAACGTTGACATTGCTATTCCTAGGCGGTTCTACGAGTTCTACGAGGCCGTGCCCTCAAAGCAGCCAACGCCACGCACGGCCTGTCTGTTCGGCTTTATGGACAAGAGATCGGGAGTAAGCCTGACACAGCCTCCAGGTTTGATCACAACCGCTGGGTAACGAAGAAAGCACCACCAATAAGGCGCAATATCACGACGCGGGTCTCGAACATTTGGGCGCGAGGAGGCGAAGTGCTTACTTACCGACGGCATGCTCCTCATAGAGGGCGTCTGGGTTGCAAAACAACAAAAAAGACAAGTCTGTCACGGCAACGCACCCTTTCCCCCAAGAACAGCTCGTTCATGTTAGCCAGCTTCTGAAGAACCACCGCAATGTAGCCACCCAGGTCAGCTCGGTCCTCCTCTTCCAACGAGATGGCGAGAGAACGTAATTCGTCCATCGGCTCTGGTTGCTCGAACCGCCTGTGGATCGGCGGGCTGAATGGCATCTGATGGCAACGCCGACACCAAGAGGAGAAAAGCGCAGGAACAAGACGATCGGTGCCGCTGAAGCCCCGTTCGACGACGAAGATAGAAGCACGTATTTGGTACAAAAGACCAGCTACCTACGTGGTGCTGAGTCCACTTGTGTGCTCGAAACTTCACGCTCATTTCGTCCTCTTCGTTGTTGCCGTACGGAAAAGGGAAACATCGATAAACACCTCCCAGAATACCTCCAGAAAAGTCCTGGTGTCTGGTCTTCATCGGGAACACAGCTCGTAGAAACACAGAAAGGGCCCGCGGGACGGCAGACGGCCTGAAGTCTGCCTTCTATGGATACGTTTGATGTACCACCCAAATCCTCATTGGTAGCATGGCTGTCGATTCACGATAAAAACAAATGTGTCGCTGCCGTAGGGTCCTTTGATATATAGTCTGTTCGGATATTCCAGTAGGCCACAAGGTCTTGCAACACATACAACAGCAGCAAAGGGGATATGTTCAAGTCTTTCCTACGTTGGTACTGCTTAGCACGAGACATCCTGCAACCAGCGCAAACTTGCTAAAATAAAACTTGCTAAAATTGATGTTCGGCGGCTACTCACCCCATGTGGATTTGGTCCGGGTATTGGCTGGTTTCTCCAGTCGCCCCAGTCTCCACCATCGAAAGAAGAGTCTGTCCGCAAGCGAGCAGAGACGAGAGTGTCTCTCAAGGCCAACAGCGGAAAATATAATCGCATCGATGTTTGCTATGCACACTTGTACGATACGGCTAGGACAGAACGACATGTATACCGTCCGTGTTACCCAGCTACCTTTCATGACCTTCACCCTTTGCCACCACCTACGCACACACATCGATCTAACCCCCTTCCAGCACGCTTCTTTGTCGTGCTGATGTACCTACCCTACAGCAGTTATTGTTCACTGCTGTGTAGCGCATGTAGATATGCATCATGAATGCAATGTTCAGCGTCCTGCATGCGGACGATGCGTACGTTGTGGTCAACGGATGAAATGTGCAACATGACCTACATGTGATGCCGAATCCCGCCCTCATTTCCACGCGAGACAAACCTTGTGAGTCGTATCCCTGTGGAGGTACAGATGGATAATGGTAACCTCCTCCCCCTGGCCGACGCGCCGTGGTGAGCTGAAGAAGGGAGAGCAAGAGCACCGCACCTTTGGACACGTGTTGGACTGCCCGGCTTCGGGGTCTTTTCCGCGAGCTAGGCGGCCGGGTTTCGGCGAGCATCGACGCTGTCGGCATTTTCTGTATGCCACCTAGGCACCGACTTCAGGCTGGGGAAGTCCGACAGCGAACGAGTTAGAGAGAAGCTCGTTCGCGTGCGAGACAGAGGATAAATACAGGAACAAGAACAGGCCGCGGAGGCATGTGGGCAGGAGAGGAGACTACAAATGCAACAGACGAGGGGGGCTCGTGGACAAATATCTAGTAGGGTACCCGTCATTGTGCACATAGTCTATATGTAGGTAGTTTCTGGTGCTTCTTCTGCGGGTGCCCCCACCGGAAACGCCCACATGACGGCAAGCAGGAGAGCGGGACACAGGAGGAGCAGAGAGCGACCATGCCACGGCGGCGAACGGCACCCACAAACAAAGATGTGGGCTGCGCTGTTTTGCACCATACTAGTTTCGTCCAGCGTACAGGTCGGAGAGGGAGTCGGTTTCACGCCCGTCGGGAAGAAGATGCTGAGGACGCTTCGAGGCGGAGCTCGACATGGAGAATCGGGCAGTAGTGCAACGAATACGACGCGAAGAACAGCCTGGTCGCCGCCGTGGCTAGCACGGCGGTGCAGCAGGGGAAAGAAGATGAAAGCCACGTCGGTGTTGGCCCCAAACGAAGCAGCGAGAAGAGCATCGCCTGCGCGCGGTTCTACGTTCAATAGTGCCCTGGCTTCTATGATCGGCGCCATCTTGTTGGGGGGCGGGACGCTAAGCTTGTCACCAACAGTCGTAGAGGCGTCTCCGTTCGACCCACGACCTCCGCCCAAGTCTACCCGTCAGCCATTTTTTGAAGGGTGGTTCATTCGGTGGGTTAAAGTGGTAGAAGGCGTAGCGTGACAGTGAACGTTTCGCTATTGTTTTCAACTTTCAACATGAAACACATGTAGTTGCAGTGGTGCCGTGCAAGGCTCTTGGTCGGTTCGGTCGGTGTTCCCGTAGACTATGCCGTTGATACATACGTCGAAACTGATACTTGCCTCGGTATCATCATCATTCGAGTATCCCCTCCTTGTTGCTTGCATGAAACATTTCAGATTCACGTCAGTGCATATGACATGAATGTCGTCTCGCGCAACATGAAACAGGAACCTGCCTCGCAGATCGTGCACACAAGTGCCGACTCGTAGGCAACATAGCAGCAGTAGACTCACGTTCGTTGGCTATATTCGTCCAGCATCCTGTCTCGCCGACGATGAACATGTATCCATATTTCATGTTTCAGACAACGCCCCGCCTACCGGACCGGTGCCTCGAAATCGCTACCCGCCCCTTAAGGTTGGTGGACCATGAGCAGAGACTCAGCTTCGCGGTGATAATCGGTTCCTTTCGAGGGCACGGTGGAAAGGAACTCGACCAGCACTACGTTTCCCTGTCCTACCTCCACGAGCCCAAGGGAGGGCTCCTCCCAGCAGAGGAGGAAAACGATCCCGAGGAAGAACCGACCGCCACCGAAGATGTCGATATTGGCGGCGGATGGGGGGGGGGGGAAGGGGAATCGGCCCAAGCGCGATCGTCCGAGATCGCGAAGCGCTTTTCGAAGTGGATACGCGCCCAGCGGTTGGCCGTGCTGCGAGAATTCGGCGCAGAAGAGGAGGAAAGTGACGGCGGGTTGGAAGACCCGGGCGCGTTGACGAAGGGGGAGAGTGGTGCTGGAGCGGTGCAGGGGGAAGACCAATCACCAGAAACAGGGGAGAACAGCGCTGAACCTACGACTGGTACGGATGGCGACGACGGTGCCACCGCTGGTCGAGAGGAGAGAGAAGAACCCTTCGACGACACGTTGCCGGAGGAGGAGAGTGAGGGGCAGGGGCAGGGGGACGAAGAGGTTGGGGAGGCTGAGACGACACCGGAGACCGAGACGGCACCAGATAGGGAACAGGACATCGCAGACCAGGGGAACGACGAGGACGAAGCCGAGAGCGACGGATTAGAAAGTAGAGATTGGCTGGAGGGGGATGGGGGCGGCGAGCTCATGAACGCCGTGCGAAAGCGGCAGGCAGGGAGGTCCCCACTTTTGCGGGCGTCAGATAGAGAGGCCACGGCGGCGAGAGACGTCGGGATGGTAGAGACGGGCAGAACCGCCGTCGACGCCATCGACCCAGGGCCTGCCGCAAATGAAGGTCCAACGGATAGTGCTCCTGAAGCCGAAGATTCAGGAGTCGGAGCTGACGAGCCCGTCGTGCAGCGGTCGTCCCCGTCGCAAGAACTGCCTTCGAAGCTTTCGGGTGGCGGCGGCAGCGGCGGCGCTTCGTTGAAACATGTGACGCCCCACGACGAGGCTACCGAGCGCACCCATACGTTTCACGCCTTCCCCCCTGCCGACACGGTGACTATCTTATGCCGAGGAGAGCCGGTCAATGGGGTGCCAAACCTGCGGGACGATCCCAGTTTTACGTGGGAGGCGGACGGAATCGGGTGAGTTCTCGTGCCTGTAGGGTTGGGTATACTTAGTAGGTCCGTTCGTCGTAGTGTCGAACGGCTTTGATGTTGTTGGTTTGGTTTGTTTTCTTTTCGATGGGCGTTTGGGCTAGTTGGACGGTATTCGCGTGGGCGAAGCCTATCTAGCTAAGTCGATCCGAGAAGCCTGTGGTAGCTGTTGCGTTGATCGTGTAGCGCGTGATTCACCCTTGTGTTTTGCTATTGTGGCGAGCGCTTGCTGCTCGATTTCATGGGGAGCGGAGTGCATACCGTTGTCGCGTCACGCTCCGACTCGAACGGCACCGCGCCATCTCGATACCCTTGCCTTTTTCACTGTTTCGTTTGCATAGGTCGTTTGCCGTTGATGGGGACAAAGGCCGACTGTCCTTCCAGCTGCCAGAGCTGAGTGTAGCGGCCAGCTTCCGGTATCGACAGCCTTGGTCAGAAGAGCGGCCGAACTCCGCCGGGCCAGAAGGCTGGCTTCAGAGGACAGGGCTCCTACCGCTGCACTACTTTGTGGTGAGGAAAGTGTTTTGTGTCTTGTACGAGACGGAACAGCGGTGCCAGCCTGGCCCATCGTGTTTTTATGAAGCGCACCCTCAACCGTGCACGGAAACCTTCCACCGCATGTTTGTGCAGTGTTGGAAAAGGGGTGGGTGGGGCGACCATGTTTTAGACGTAGGCTAGGCCGACCCACTCGCTGTGGTATTCTACATAACACATTTTTTGTTTGCGCGGACAGCAATCCATGGGAAGCGAGGCAGGGTACAGCCTGAAGGCGACAGGTGCGCCTAGAGCGGTGGTGGGGCGAGGAAGCATACACATGGAGGCCAATTACGGGGAGTCTTTCCCGACGGGATGGGTCTGGGCGCAGGTGTGTGACCGATATGAAGCGCAAACTGACGTGTTGTCCCAGCGAGTTTGTCGAGTCCGAGCGTTGTTTGTCTGGCTTGATATTTACTGCCTACTGTGCTTTCGCCGTTCCGTTGCAAGTCGATCTGCTAAATGTGATTTATAAAGGAGGGGCGCCATCGATGTCGTACTCCACGAAACGTTGCTCCCGCCCTCTCTCTGGTTCGCGGATATACATATCGTCACTACCGTTATGACTGCTGTCACGCTGCGATTTTGACGGTTCATTGCGATAGGGTTGCAGCGCAACGAAGGGTCTTTGCGGCAACGTCTTCCGTGACGGAGAGCTGACAAACCCCGACGGAGGGTCCGCACAAGAAGCGTCCGCCGGGAGACGCGCAGCTGGGGGCAAAGCCGACGGCCTCGGGGGTTCCAAAAAGGATTCGGCAACGCCGCGGTTCGTGCTAACGGGGTGAGCACCTTATCGTAGCTTCGACGAGTTGGTGTTGCTTGTTGCTGAACCGAGGAGATGTTGTTGCCAGCATTATTTTCTCGCGGAGACGTGTGTGAGTTTTTAGTATTAGCATCGACCGCGCTAGCCGGCTGACCAATGAAAAGACGTCAGTCTTAGTGCGGTTGAAAACACAAAACACTGCTATCTGACGTGTGTGTGCGTGTGATTTATTTTTAACCGTTGCGTTGTTCACCTCGGCGCGCTTCCTGAAGATTTTGACATCCCTCCCCCACTGCTGTGCGGTGTTTTTCCTTCCTGGAAGAGGACGCTTCGTGATCGGGCCGATAACGACCACCAGCTTCGTTTTGGCGTTTCGATCGGAGCGACATAACTGGAACTTCCGAACGACGGATCTTGATCGCATCGTGGTGACAGCAAGTCGAAAAGATCATCGGTTAACTCTGGTCGCCAAGTCGTGGGGGGACAACCGTGTCCTCAAAGCGGACATTCGCGTGAGTCTGGCCGATAAGCAGCCACGCGTGAGCATGGGACTCCAGTCTCGAGGTTGAGACTCCCGCCTCACCTGTTTCTCTGGAGAAGTTTGTCGAACTTCGACTTCTACTGTAGGTGATGAACCTGCTTTCTACCTTATGACCCTGTACGAGGTGAATCGAATTCGCTGTTCCTGTACTTGTTTATGCACACACCTGGAACTGGCACGCCTTCACTACTTTTCCAGGTTCATCTACTCTCTACGCTGACGTTTTTGCCCAATATTAGCAGCAACCTTCCTCGTAGATATGGTGTCATCGTACGTCAGCAATAACATCGACTGCGCTTCTTCCGCTCGCTAACAGCCGAAATACGTTTCACCCCGGGCGATGCAGGCACCGGAGGGCTCTTTCGGCTCTGCCATCTACGTGCCGACGCCCGAAGGTTTTTCCAACGCCCCGGGTTGTGTCGAGTCATACGCGGCTACAGCCAGGTTTCGACTCTACACGAAAGGGGATAAGTTGGAAGGGGACGGGGTGACTCGGCCGCTGGTGCTGCGGGAAGAGGTCGAGTTTAAGGCGAGTAGGCAACAAGGCAAAGAGGTTGGCGTTCCATTCTTGCGGCTAGTGATGTTTTCCTGGCATTGGCACTCTCCCGAAGCCAAGCGGAAGTAGGCTCGTACCAGTTTTTTTTTGTCGACTGCGTGCACTGCCTTACATGGCCTTTTAAGCCATTCTCGAGACGCGTCACTGCCGTTGCTGCTGCAGTGCATGTAAGGTGCTGTTGATCAGATGTAGAGTTTGTTTCGGGGACGGGTTTTCTGTTTCGGGTTGGCAGCAAGCTGTGACAACATGCCCAGAGGTATGATGCCTGCTTTCTGACCTGCGAGCGCTGGTACATCTGTCGTAGCGTGGACAGTCAGTCTTGACCAAGCATGTTTTACCAGCATGGTTTCCTAAGCCGGGAGGGACGTTTGCTTGGTCGTACTGCTGCACTGCTTGAAGCAATTGAGCTACGTGCACCGACCACTCCCTGCCCCCCCCCCCCCCCCCTCTCGGCTCTTCGGATGTCTCTACAGTTGGCAGCTTTGGAGTTCGGCGGAGAGTACCAAGACACATGACCATGTTGCAGCCCCTTTTATCGGCACTTTCGTCGTGCCTGTTGGCAACGCGCCGAATGCGTTACGCCGTATGCTCTATTGCACGTCGCTTTTTGTACCGATACTTGCCAGTGATTGATGTGGCCTGTCGGCCTCTTCCAAGCACACGTCGGTAGCTACGTTAGGTTGGAGGTGCGAGGTGGACTGTTGGGCAAATACGTTTGTCAGTCGTTGGTTTGTTGCTTGTTGTGGGATGCATGAATCACCTGCATAGTTATAGACTATTTGTTGCTGTTGGTGCCGGGAAAATATCCTCAAGACACGGTCTCCTGTTTCTTTTAGTATGTCTTGTGTGTGGTGCCACGGTCTTCTGTGCCTGATGTTGCCCCAGAGGAATCACGCGACGGAATATCTTAGGTCACCGGGCAGGACATCACGCTTGCTTACAAAACTTGTATTATTGTGGCGTTTCAACGAAGGAGCTCATCATCGGGGTGTAACTCAGCGTCCGAAAGGGTGGGAAAGGCAAGACTGACACTAGAACAAGACCGCGGTGCATTTTTTCTTCTACACGAAGCGTACTACGGTGTGTTCGAGTACATGTGCATATTATGCAGCTGTTCGTGTTGCGAAAATGCCGGGGTTGGTGCACCGACTCCGCCCACTTGCATACGAACAACTGACATAGGTACACCGTCCGTCATGTTTTGGGGGGGTGTCATCAGAGGGCTCGCGGATTCAAATTCTGGAAGAACTACCACAAACTGGATAAAGAACCAGATAATCAGTGGGTGGGGGATGGGGGGGTGTTATCTACCGTATACGGTGTTTCAACTTGGATTTAGTGTGGTATAGTATAACCGGCACTGTATGTGTATAGGATTACTACATATAGGGTAGGCAAACTATTTACTTCGCACTTTTGACTTCGAAGAAGGGTTTTAGACTGCATGATATTTTTGTAGGTATACACATTAATTATCCCATACACACGTCTTAGTATATGTTTTTTTTACGACGATGCTAAAGCCTAGGTATACAATATGGAATATACAGACTTTACCTACCCATACTAAATCCTATACAATTAACGCCATGGCAGACGCCCGAAAAAATGGCGGGGGCGGGCGGCGGGGAGGGGGTAGCCGTGCTTCCAGAAGTTGAATCCGCGAGCCCTCGTTTGGGGGGGTCCATGGATGGCCCTTGGAAAGTGTTTTTATTTTTATTTTTCTTAATATGACACAACGAAACCATCTCTATCATAGAGTCTGAGACAGATTAGCAATGGATTCATGGCGTCAGAAAGTACCTGTATGTCTACGATTTCCCAGACAGCATGTAGGGACATCTCCCCTGCGGGTAACAGGCTCAACAAGACAGTTTGGTAGCTGTCTTGTGTGTCTCATATATGTTATGTTGGGAAGGTGCAGATGATATGTGTTAGGTACTGGTCGGGCGTTTTGTGTGTGACACCCTTTTAATCGTAGGGCATGCAATCTCCCTCAGTTTACAAACGTATTTTGTTTGCATTTTTCTCTTGGGAAAAAACAAAAGGACGAAAAGAAAGAAAGGGAGGGCCGAAAACGGCTTGGGAAGTATTTTTTATTTTTTGGGTTTTTGGAAACAGGTTAAGTTGGGCCCAAAGCGAAGCCGCGTACAATGCGTCTTCTCTGGCATGTCAAATCTAGGCCACGGCTGGTACGAATCACTTGTAATCACAGAAAGAACGCGCCATCATTCGGGGGTTCGATTTTCACGAAATCTCAGACTTCAACACTATAAAACGGAGCATTTCCGTGGGTTCTCCGCTGACCTGTATACTCTGTAGCCAAGATCCGTTAATACTTTTGAACGGCGTTCCGCCACATAATATGACAGCCGCTGGTGTTGTTATTCCGGCCGCCTGTCTGACAGAAACTCCATTTCAACAGAAAACAGATCAGATCGCGTGGAGACCAGATGAAACAACAGCACAACAGACCTCCCTTTTGGTAGTCGAACCACGCTGCTCCAAATATACCGTATATGACACAAGATAACACACCCCCTGGACCGATTTTCAAAGCTCGATTACTCCACGACGAAGAGGATGCATAAATGAAACAATACGTTTTCGAACAGCTCTCGACGAGACGGTTCCAACGCCGCCGTTTTCGGCGCTGTGACTCTTCCTGCTGTTGAGAAATCGAGCTTTGAAAATCGGCCAAGGGGGTGTGTTATCTTGTGTCATATACGGTACTGCTGCTGTGCGGTATATTTTCGCAATAAAAAAAAAATGGAAATGTCATCCTAAAAAAAAAAAGTACGTGTGTTTCTGTGCTTTTCAACCTTTGGGCGATACTCTTCCATTCACGTCACAACTCTTCCTTGAATCCGCCTACGACCCGCTGCTTCGAAGCCTTACTACCGTGCTCGCTCAAGAGGCGGGGTGCGCTGGGAGGATTGTTGGGGCGGTATCGCGGCAGGGGCGTGGGCGGGCGACAGACCTTTTGGGGGCTCTGCACTCAATTTAGAGGGAGAAGAAGCGGCAACGAGTTTAGCCGACGTGGGGTTCAAATCAGAAGAGTAGATCACGGAGCCGGCCACCCCACGCCACTTGCTTACGCGAGTAGAAAGGAGAGCCTCGGCAGGCGCACGCTCCGAATTCCGTCAGTCGTCGGCGTGGGGTTTGGAGCACCGGGACCCAAGCGCGGACTAAAACCATCTCTGTGTCCCTGCTGGGCGCAGAATAGTAGCCACGCAAAGGCAGCAGCACCAGGCACCGGGCCCACAGCCGATCGAGCTTCGACCCGGAGCCGTCGAGTCGGACGTGGTGAGGGTTTGGGGAGGGAGGCGGGCCATGGCCGACGTGGAGCGGCCAACCCGGAGACGGGGGAAGATGGGAGGTGCGGCGCGTGCGCTAGCGCTGGGCCTGACGATAGGAGGCTGGGCATCAAGTCAGGTAAGGGTGGTGTGGGGGCCGTGTTTTTGAGACTTGATGAACGGTGGGGGTGGTCGGGCTGTCGGGCTGTCTGTTGCAGAGGCAGGCGCCTCTCTAGCTCCCCAGGTTCGCGAAATCTCATCCATCTCTGTAATCGTTTTTGGCGTGATCCGGCTATCGTTCGGTTGGCGACTCCGTGCTGACCTTGACTACACACACCCGGGAAATGTATGCGTCCGTCATGATGTTCTCTCCCGCGTAAGAAGTTAGCCGCGTATTGTAGCGTTGTACGGGGAGAGGCTTCGAATTTTCCCACTGAAAGGGTAGAATCGGGTCGATGTACATCACAACGATTCTACGCGCGTGTACTAGCTTGAAAATTGAAAAACAATCTCGCTTGGTTTGGGCTGGGGTTGTACGAACAGCTGTGTACCCAAATGCTCCGGAGAAGAAGGGTGGTTTGGAACTAAGGGTGCTACCGCACCGTGCAATCGTGTGGAATCTGCCCCCATAGTTTTACCTCCCCGGAATCGGTTCTGTGCTGCTACACACCGTTCTATCTCTACCAGTTCGTGGACCCTGTATTATCGGCTCTGCCCATCATTGTTCCTGCCCCCACCTCTAATATTAAGCGAGGCCCTTGCTTTTTTTTTTTCTCCCATCATCGACACAGCAGCTGAAACATTGTTGTGGAATTTTCTGCTGTTGCCAGACCCCGACCACTCTCCTTATACAAAAGAAACACGTAGTTGTATGTACCGCCCTCTTGTTTTCGTTCGCCCTTGCAGGGGTTGGCTGCTGCGGCGAGCCACTTGCCAGCGGCAGCGGCGGCGGCGGCGGGGTCGCAGGAATGCGGGTTTATCGTGACCATGTGGGGGGAGTCGGCTGCCTGCGAGCAGCAGCTTGACGGTGCAGCAGTTGGGTGCGACAAGAAGTCGTTCTCGCGCCGGGCGGACCGTGTGCAGGTGGGTGTTCTTTGCGGATCTGCTGCTGGCCTTTGTTTTTGACGAACTACCCTCAAGCAGAGGAGCAGCAGGGCGCCAAGCGCCAGTAGAGTGGAAATGCGGGTGAAAGGACTTGGCAATTTTTCCTTTCTCCCACGGTAGTACGCCGCGTGAAAAAAAGGGTCTACAAGCAGGAGCCCTCACTCCATACTGAAGTACCCACCAGTAATCGTCGCGCCTCTCCGTGATTCCTGTACACAGCAGTAATTGGTGTACTCAAGGCATGATATGCTCCTATTAATGTAGAAAATGCTGTTTTTTCTTTAGAACCAACGGCAGTGGCAGTAGTGTCGGCAGTCAGCCCTAGTGATGTAGCACACCGATCGATCGGCATAAAATGTTCAAAAGCGTATTTGATGCATTTGCACAGGTGTTTGAAAGTCAAGAATGCTTGGTGCCCGGACAGAACCATTTTTTTTTTATCTTCGATCAGGCAGAGCTCGATGTGTTTGTGTGGCGAAGTCTTTCACCGGTTGTTTTGTCCATTTTTGTGTCTACTGCTGTATTTTGTATTTTGAAAGCATGAGAGAAAACGACGGTTTACCGAGCGGTTGCGTGACACGATGCGGCAAGAGATTGCTCAGTGGCCCCACGCTGATTGGCCAAGACCACTGAGTACGTATCATCTCCTGACTGTTCAAGCAGAGCACGCCGCGGCCGGGGGTCTCGATTCTCCTTTTTTTGTCGCACCAGTCACCGTGCTGCTGCGGTGTAATAACCACTCCCGCCCAAACCATTCGGCCTAGAAAGATACTTTAAAAAGATTTCCATATTTTTTCCTTTTAAATTATAATATGAAAAAACTTGAAGAACGAGTTTCATTCCGTAAGAAGCGACTCTGTGGACATGCTATGGACGTCCACTTTGTTGCAATGTTTCCGTGCAACAATTCTACCGACGTCGTGCCCAATCCAGACTTCTGGGGTGCGTCGTCTCACGACGTGTCTCGTACCTACTGGTCGGACCCGACCACCTCTTGCTTTCCCTGTCTCGCGTTGTGCACTCGCCACGCGCCGATCACGAGAGGGAGTGGGGGGTGGTGGGACCGAATGGCATCTCAACCAAGGATATCTCAACGGCTTGCGATTTGCAGGAAAACAACGAGTGCAGCAGTGAGCAGGACCACCTACAGCAGCGAGCACAGAATGCGAACATCTGCTGTGATAGTCCGATGCATCACTTGTTGAGCCTTCATACATACACCAAGCCGTTTTGTGCGGAGTTTTTTTTTCTTGCGACAGCAGCACTACGGTGACCTCGGGGGCAACCCATGGCTGAACCGCCACCCCCATCCCGACCACCACGCCGCCCTGCCCTCTTGGCCGACAATAGAATAGGCTGGCTGTTGAAATGCCGGTGTCATACTCGTGGGTGGGTGGGTCTTTCCGACAGACAATTCCACACCAAATGATCGGGGTGTGACATTCTACGAACAAGGTTATTTGTTTCCGCGCGGTGCGGACACCTTTGTGTAGGCGGAATTAATTCATTGGTGACGTCACATCGTACCCACCCCCGCCCCCGGTCATGGTGTCTGCTGATACTCTTGTACTCTTGTCATCCGACAGGCACTGGTGGGCAGCGTGCCTAAGGAAGCAGGGCTCGGCCCCGTCAGAGAGGCCGGATCTTCGGAATGGCGACAAGTGCTGAACTTCGGTGAGTCATGTGTGTTGTCTGTCGGATTCTGTCGGAGGAGAATCGGCTCTTTACTTTGGCTGCCGAATGAATCTCTCGTGTCACGTGCCCGACCTACCGTAGGCAGTAGGCGTTGTTGACAAGCTTTGGTTGAGGGCGTCGGTCTTTGATGGGGAAGTGTCGAGGGACGAAGCACTCGTGGTCAATGATCCCAGACGAAGAAGGTAGTGTTTGTTTCTCCCTTGCTTTTTCCACTGGGCGCGTGGGCGAGGTTACTGTTCCTGCACGCAGCGAAGGACGAAGTCGAATCGATGCTCCCCACCTGCCACCTTGGTAGGTGTAAGGTAGATGCGTCCAGCGGCGTTTGGCTTGGACAGGATGATGGCTTTAATGGCGTTTGCATTGCTTAAACTCTGCAGCACTTCGGGTCATTAGCTCCGTTTTTTTTCGAAGCGACGACAGCGTTGACGATGTTGGGTTTCGACCTCTCTCGTCATGTTGCTATTTGTAAATCACGAACGCTGTCGACTTGGGATAGACGACCATGCACATATTGCGAAAGATATCGACCGCGGGGTGAGCGAGCCAAAAATATCCTGAAAACAACTGGTCTTTGCCGGCTCTCTTTGCCCTGCCGTTTTGTCAGGCTTGCTGTCGCCGATTTTCGCCCACTGGCCTGCTCTCCTCCTCGGGATTTTTTTTACATACATCTGCTTGTGAATTGTGGATATGGTTCTGCGAACACTAGTCCTGTGTTGCTGATGCCGTTTCCCGTGTTGTTGTTTTCTCGCCAATCAGGTTGCGTGGATGGACGAGATAAACTTGTCGTTTCGCTGTACGACAACCTTATGCGCCCGCTGGCGACTTGCGAGGTCGGCACCGTGAATCCTGTGTATTGTGGAGAGTGACTTGCGTTGGAAAAGAGCAGATCCGCGAACCGATCCGGGACCTTGGAGTGGGATGTGTCGTCGTGCTTCTGTCTCATGCGTGTCTTGCAGGCGCTGCTGCTGTCGTAGTGGTTGCCCGGAAACTCGACCATGGTCGAAGGGAACACCGCTGTTTACCACTCGCGCCGCCACACGCACCCCTTGGCGCCCGTTGGCGTTTTGTTCTTCTGCAGCAACAAACATGTGTTTTAGGAAGTCTGTTGTATGTATAATCAAAGATAGACTTCCCATTCGATAGATATAGTTGAAATGAAGTAAATGGGGGGGGGGACGTGTTTTTTTGTTGTCTTGTTGTTGCTTGACTACAGGAAGGCCCATGTTTCGTGTCTGACGGAAGTGAAAAGTCTACGCGAAGGTCGGTGTTGTCGCGACAAATCGCGTCGAGACGCTCAAGGCGTTGTGTTTCAACGTCCGTATCACATCAATCAGCATACATATCTCCCTTGCGTTTCTCTCGCTCGAAGTCTGCCTCGGTTTGATAGAAGTCTCTTGCTATTCTTGCGCTCGTGGATATCGATCACAGCAGTCACTCGAACGTTGAAAGGCATTCTGCCTCACATGTGGCGTGCCCCCTCTCGTCCCCGCCCCCCCGTCGCCGTGGTTTCTGTTGCGCGAGTCACCAGTTGTTGGGGGTGTGCGTGCGTGTTTCTCTCTTACCCTTTTTATAGTTAGGAAGAGAAAGTCGTGTATGCGTGAGCCTTCCGGCGTGCTTGCCACCGGCCAGCACCAGGAAACGCAGCACATTCAATCATTCGATCTTTCAGAGAGAACTTGCCCGTTCGAGATAGTTGTCCTTCACTTTCGTTGCTGCCTGCCAACACCGTATGCGCCGCTTCATCCCCCATGCCAGGTCGGAGAAACCGCCTCGATAGAGAGCAGTAAAGCCATGGTCTGTGAGGGCGCTCACGGCATGCACTTCAAATATGCGGTGAGATACATTCCCCCTCAACACTAGGTCTCCCGGCGGGAAGTTTTTTTTTCTGTGAAACTCCGTGTGGGTGGCCTTGTTGGGTAGCACACGACCGGTGGTCTAGTGGTTCGCCTCGCAAACTTTCTCGTAGCAGGGTTGTGGGTTCGATCCTTTCCCTAGAGGATTCTCATTGCCTCCAACTTTCATAGAATACGATGAACTTGGAGAGTACATATGGACCCACTTGGACTTGACTGTCGACGAGGGAAAGGGGCGGTTGAACCCATCACGCGATATTTAATGAGGCCAGGTACTGCAAGAAACGGGAGCCTTTTCTGTTTTCGTTGCTTGGGGCCATGAACTATTTAGTCTCTGATGGCCTACATCATGCTGTCGCGTTCACTTTATCTTTCGGGGATGTGGGTAAAATATCTCGAGTCGCACGTCAACCTCTACCTCAGCGCAGTCTCTAATCGAAATAACCACCGCGGTCATGTGGGTGTCCCTTTAACAACCGATTAACCCAACCCTTTCGCCAGGACTTGACACACAAGGGGGGGGGGGGGGGTTGACTACGCTGTCAGGGCTACAGAATAGTACCCCAATATTCCAACTTTTTGAACCACACGAAGGTTTCAATGGCGCACTTGTCCGTCCTTTCCGCCCCCGCTCTTTTCCCGACGAACCAGGTGGAACATACGGCCCTCTTGGCCGAGGCCATCCGGCCCCAGCGGAGGGCGCAGTTGGTAACCCCTACCGCAACCCCTACGCCGGCGGCCGTAGGCACGACGCCGGCGCCGGTGTCGCCGGAAATAGAGCCTACGCCTGCGGCGGTGGAACCAACCGCAGCTGCGGTGGAACCAACGCCAGCCCCGGAGACGCCGGCGACGGAAGCTCCCGAACCGGAACCAACGGAACCGCCGACAGCGGAAGCGACCTCTGCCCCCGTCACCCCCGCCACCGCCGCCCCTACGCCCCGCCCGACCCCAGCCCCGAACACCCCGGAGACCCCTGCCCCAGTTACCCCTGAGACTGCCGAGCCCACCCCACGCCCAACCCCTTCGCCGGTGACCCCAGCAACTCCTGCGCCGGTCACCGCGGCGCCGGTGACCACGGCGCCGGTGACCCCGGAGACGCCTGAGCTGACCCCAGCGCCGGTTGCGGCGGTGGTTCCAGAGACGCCTGCTCCGGTCACACCGACGCCACCTACCGATGCCCCTCAAGCACCCGTGGCGGCCCCCACACCCGAGCCCACAGTCGGTACGACCGATAGCCCAGTAGCCGCTCCAACACCTCCTCCGTCCACATTGCCAACATCAACCCCGCAAGCCCCCCCTACGACTCCGCCGGAATCGCCAGCTCCTACTGCACTAATCGGTACGGATGAACCCACGTTAGCTCCGCGCGTAACCGAAACGCCTCGAGTAACCGAAACGCCGGTCGTAACCGAAGAGCCGGCCGTAACCGAAGGGCCGGCCGGGGCCGTCACAGCGTCGCCGGTCGCTTCTCCGTCCCCCGTTGATTTCCCGTCGAGCTCACCATCCACCCCCCCCGCCGCTGTACCCCCGTCGTCGGCGTCAGATCCTCCGACGGGCCTCCCTGGTACGTCGCCCCCTTCCGCTGCTATTGATTACTATGACAGTGACGATGATGATGATGACGATGAAAATGATGACGACGATAATGATGATGTTGTTGATGATGAGACTCGTGCAACCCGTACCCCAACAACGCGATCGCCTGTTTCAGCTCCTCCGACCGAGAGACCAACACCACGACCAACACCAAGCCCTGTGTCGACGCCGGAACCCCCGGCCGACTCTCCCGTGCCGCCTCCATCCCCCGTGCCCTCGACGCCCCGACCAACGACCAGCCCCCCTACTGCAGTGTTAACGCCGATGCCCGTAGAATCGCCTCCATCATCCCCTGTATCGTCGACGCCTCAACCAACGACCAGCCCCCCTGCGGCCGTAACGCCCATGCCCGTAGCTGCCCCCCCACCCGTCTCATCGACGGAGCCCCCGGCCGACTCGCCAAGCGCGCCGCCCTCGACCACTTTACCGTCGACGCCCCAGCCATCGGCGGCCCGCCCTAACGCGGCGGCGTTTACGCCTATGCCAGTAGCTTCCCCCCCGCCCGTTGCACCTGCGGTGACCACGTTGCAACCAGCAGCAGCAGCAACAGCAACAACTTCGCCCATGAATCCACTGCCACGAGAAGAAGCCGCACCCTCGTCCTCACCGACTCACTCGCCCCCGTCTCCGTCCGCCGCCACTCCTTCTGCAGAGACAACAGCCCCTCCGAGCCCCGTTGTCTCGACGGAGACGGTCGCGCCCGGCGCCGCGGTGACGACGCCGGCGCCCGGCGCCGGCGCCGGCGCCGGCGCCACCGTCACCCCCGCAACGCCGGCGCCGTCGGCGGCGGAAGGGGAAACGCCGGCGCCGTTCTCCAGCCCCGCCCCGGTCGCAACGTCGTCGTCGTCGACCGAAGCGACTCTGTCTCCGAACACCGAGGAGGTCTGCACGGAAGCCTGCGTCGTGGACAACCTGACGCTCAGCACCCACTCGGCAACGTACTACGACGCGCGGTGTGAAGGCAAGGACGACTCGGACCTGTCGGGGTGTAACCTGTCTTCGGCGAACTCCGATTGGAACAACTGCCGGAACTGCATCATCAACCTGGAGTCCTTCGAGGCAGAAAATGGAGGTGAGGCAGAGATGGGAACACGGCAGAATCCGGGGACTTGATGGGGATGGGTGTTTAGAATGGAGCTGTTTAGCTCGTCGTGTGTCTTGCTTCGGTGGGTCCTTCGTTACAAGTTGTCGATGGTGGGTGTTCACCCGTGAAAGAGGACTGCAAGCACACACATCCACACACATTTCGTGGCATTTAGAAGCATTTTCTGTTTTCAACCGCACTGAGACGGACGTCTTTTCATTGGTCAGCCGGCTAGCGCGGTCGATACTAATAACCCAGACACACACATACCCCCCTTTTCCCAATGCGTGCAGTGGATTCGGTGGATTGGCCGCTGTGCCCTTGCTGTGTAGCGGAGACACTCCTATTGGATCCTCAGACGGACGAATGTATCGCAGAGGCTGGCACGGCCGTCACTACCCCGACGCCTACAATGGTGGGGGAGACAACATTGGATCTAAGGTGAGCTGCTACTCGGATCACAGTGTTGGCTGTCGACGGGAAGACTGTTGTCAGGTACCCCGTCCCCTCCCTCCCGCAAACCGGCCGGACCTCTCCCTCGAGTCATGTCGTTGTCTCAAAATTAATGGGGCCGCCAAATATTGTGGTAGTTCGTAAATTACCATAGAGCGTTTCGGGTTTTCTTGTACGCTGTATGCATTTCTCGTTGGGGCAAGACCCAGTGTTGTTGGTGGCAACAAACGATTGCGATCTCTCTGTCCAGTACCTACCTCGTGTCAGTGTCATGCCTCATCTCCTGAACGGAAGATGTATTACAGTAGTCACTTCCGGTGTGGGATTGTAGTAGCACTGATGGTGGAGGCCATCAATGAGAGGCGCGGTATTGCTTCATTGTTTTTTCTGCTGTCTCCGGAGAGCCTTGTCGCGGATGATATCTCGTCACATTTTCTTGAGTTGTTGAGGTCGTGAAGTGCTTTGTTTTTTTTTTAATTTCACTGACACAAGAGACACAATCTCTTGTGTGACCCCGGCTGATACATGAGGTATGGTATATACGCCGAAAGGCCTGTAAACCGGCGCCAGAATAGAGACGAACACACAACACATCATCATTCTTTCTCGCGAGGTTCGGTTGGGCACTCTTTTTCTTTCTAGCCTTGAAGTGGCATTTTTTTGCGTAACACGTGTGTTCTCCAGCGGTCGCCCAACCGCGTTCAAAGTGTCTGATCACCAGGTAGGCAAGGTGTGTCGTGTGTTTTGATGCCCCAATCAAGCGCGTGCCCCCCCTGCGAATCCCGTCTCTCACGGTCCACGCGCACCCTGCATTGGTGTTGCTTGTCCTATGAATATGTGCCTTCTTGTCTCGCTTTACTCTTTTTTTTTGTCAGGACCGAGGCGAATGACCCTGACCTTCTCATGATGAGTTTCAACAGCGAAGACTGCACCGCGTTTGGCATTGCCGTCATTCCCGGAGCAACCCCAAAGTGAGTTGTTTTCTGCAAGTGGCATGACGCAAGATATCACACACCCCGGACCGATTTTTCAAAGCTCGACTACTCCACGGCTGAACGTTTCGTCATACGGAGTAATCGAGCTTGGAAAATCGGTCCAGGCGGTGTCGTGCCTTCTAGCACGTATGTACGGTATAGGCTGATCTCGATACTGTACGGAACCTCAGCTGGCAGTAAAGACTGAGTGCTCTCTATGGGCGGGTTTTACTACCTGGGTGTGTCTTATCCTGTAGGGTGCCACTGATCTGGTCACGTCCTTCTCGCCTCATGTTTTTTACTTGTGGAGGTAAAGTTGGTTCTGTGCATGTGTCTTTTCTGCCTCTTGCGTTGGGCCTGACTCATTCGGGAGTGTGTTCTTCTGACTCGATTCTTCCTCGTCCGGTATGTACCAGGGTGATGGAGATTTCGAGGTACACGGACGCGGATGGTCTGTGCAACTCCAACTTCGACATCCTCGTCGGTGAGCTTGTCCTCGAAAAGGGCAGGAAGCGTGTTGGATGTCAGGGACAGAGATGCGCTCTCAAGCTTGATGTGTTGCTTTTCTCATGATGCAGCAACGGTATGACAGAAGCAAACGCTCAAGCCTTTTATTTTTCTTGTTTTGGAGAATCTTGGGAGTACATTTGGAATAGTAAACAGGAAAATGGGCCTACAAGATGACTCATGCCACAAGAAGCTCGTCTGGTTGAAGCTTCGTAGGGATACAATATCCCTTTGTGCTGCTCTCTTCACCACGCCCTGGGCGACCTGCTGAGCTAACTTTAAGTGTTGTTTTGCTTTTGGCAGGCACGGAGTGCGACCTTGAATCGTACTCGTGGGCCTACAGTAGTAACTCTTTCGACTACATGTACACCTGCTCGACTACGACAAGTGCGGGGCGGAGGCGGCTGGCGGTGAGTGTCATGCAGCATGCTTGTACTGTACTCTACGTGCTGTAGCATGACTCTCTACTCCCGTCTTGGTGTTCGAGTGTCATGCAGCGTGGTGCTGTAGCATGACTTTCTACCTCCGACGTCGGTGTTGAGTGCCATGCAATGTACGGTAGCATGACTTTCTACTCCGTGTTTGAGTCGTCTGCTGTAATGCACTCTTTGTTGCTTTACCTCCCTGGTCGAAGAAGGACGTTTTAAGGGGAAAACAGCCTCTTGATTTGAGCCTTTTGTACGTCAGTAGATCACTCGTAGGCGTCCTTTGTACCCTTTTGTGGTGGATACCCTCTGTTGACCGTCGTCGCCTACGTACGTCCAACTCGCAGGACGGGGGCTCGGAGACGTACCCCATCGAATCCGACGCCGTGCTGTGCAACAACGGCGACCACTTCGTGTCCCTGAGCAGCGTGAGTGTGCCGGAACTGAAATGATGTGTTGCCGATGTCCTCCCATACCTCGCGGTTGAGACTACGTGTTGTATCGGTATTTATCGGTATTGTATCTCAAACTTGGCGACCAGCAGCAGTTCGAGCAAACAAGCGACGCTGCACCGTTGTGGGTGGCACGAGATATCACAACCTCTAGACTGATTTTCAAAGCTCGACTTGTCCACCGCAGAAAGTAGGCGATTGTGGCGTTGGAACCGTCCGGCCTAGAGCTTTCCAAAACACAACTGGTTGATTCGATTTGTTCTTCGTGAAGTAATTGTGCTTTGGAAATCGATCCTGGTGTGGGATATCTTGTGTCGTCCAAGGTATCTGCTCTCTTGTTCTGCCTTCTTAGCACGTTGTGCATCACTACTTATTTTGTGATGTTGTGATGGTAATCGTGTTGTTCGGAGCCCTACGCACAAGTAAACAACGTTACATGGAAGGTCGTGGGCGTTTCACTTAGTTGCATATACGGTACAGTTTGAACGGTCTTCGGCACCCAAGTGCGATAGTGTACCAGCTTTTCAGCACACATGTTTGGCCTGATTCTCCCTTGACCCTTAACGGAGCCCGAGTTGGTGAAAACAAACGGGTCGTCTTTCTTTGACCGTATGTGTATTTCCTAAGAAATGTTGTCATCGGGCCTTGCAGAACTGGGCATTTAACATTTAACCGCCATTTCTGTTGGATTTTCTTGTCGAATATTACACAGTACGGCAAAAGTATGGGTGAAACAGTGTTGCTCGTTTGTAGATTGGACCAAACGCGCCCAGCAACCGCACGGAGCCCCCAAGCAAACACAACGCTTATGTAGCATATGTGCCACACGATTTTCATTCTCGCTGCGTTCGTATGCGAAACCATGTTTGACCTCTCTCAGTTGGCCGATGGAGAAACGGGGCTCGTGTACGCCACACCGGACGCGGAGAACTATGACAGCGTGACCGACTCTCAGACTTCCCTGTCTGGGTCGGATATGTGCGGAGAGTCGACAGACGCAAACGTAGTGACGACCATGCTGCTTGAGGAGATCGAGGAAGACGACGGGCTGAGCGGATTGGTGAGTGGAGTGGAGTGAAGTCAGCTGCTGTGTTGGCGTCATGAGAATGAACCAGGTGTTTTGTCCGGCAACGTTATGGTGGCGTTTATTTATTAACAACTGCTGTGTTGAGCTATACGGTTCGTACAGTGTGTGAATATACCGTTTTTGATCCTCGCGTAGGTCCGTGGTTAGCTTACTGTCATGGACGTCTGTTTGTGTCTACCCTGTTATTGACGGGGGTGACGTTTTCTAGTTTGCTCCTGGCCTTGAGGGGTTTTCGTGCTCTCATCCGGTGTGTTGCCCGCCCCGTGCTGACGGTGCCGTTGTTGGTGTGGTGTTGCCGCTGTCGCAGCTGGGAGAAGCTGACGAGTCCTCCTCGGAGGGGGGTGGGCTTCGCTACGAGATCATCATCGGCATCGTGTGCGCCGTCGTGCTTCTCATGGGCTGCGCCTGCTTCTGCTGCTACCGGCACCGGAAGGGCAAGGAGAGCCGCGCGGTCCACATGCGGCGGAACCTCGGGTACACCCCGGACATGGAGGCAAAGGGGGAAGGGAACTTCGGCCCCACCAACAAGCACGTGGCGATCACACGCGGCGGAGGGCCGCAGGTCACGCCCGAGATGCTGGCCACGACCAGCTACAGCCAGCCTTCGCACCCGCCCACGCACCAGCGGGCCCCGAGCGAGGCGCCGTCGTCGATTATCGAGGACAACATTGCCAACAACTACCGACCAAAGACAGCGGCTAAGGTGAGCCTGTTGTCGATGGAGGATTGATTGGTGGACGCCGCATGTAGGAAGGAAGAACATCTTGACGAGATCCGAAGCGAAGGCTGGCCCTCGATTACAACAAGGACCTCGGCAACGCAGCTGACTGGCTCAATGCCATTGCGTACATCCACAACTCCACACACAATTCATATTTGGACATTCTGGTCAAATAGCCAAAAATTGTACCGCCGAGTGCGTTTCACCCTTTCATCGCGTTCTCTACCGAAACAACACAGTAAATGTGTTGAGGGATATTCCTCTACGAGACCGTTTCGGTCTCTAGAGGTTTCACAGAAGGGTTAAAAAAAAATGTCTTGTCTTGTCTGTCTGTCGCCGTTTACTCCGAAGCTCCGAACCACGCACTTTTTTTGACCGAACGCCCGAGGCGAGGAATCAGACCTTCGGCCGTCCTGCACTACTTTAGACGCCCTCAGCAAGTTTGAGCTTGATTGGCGCCTCGTGTGTGAACCTTTTGCTGTGTCGATGACCGGCCTTTCAAGAACGAAACACCAGCATGCAGCAGGTGCTTCCGGTAACAAATTGCTCTGATCTTGATGTGTTTGTACTTAAAACGTTGCCTATCCTCTACCAATTTGAAGCCCCGTCCAATCTGTAGTTGGATTGACAAGTCCTTCGATGCTCGAAAAGCTGTGTTTACCAATTTTTGCCTGCTAACGAGAGGTTCGGGCCACACCGCTGCAACCTCCTGACGAGGAAGTATACTCCACCGCATTTCGCACACACATCACCAACTTGACAGCTTCATGATACATGACTCTCTTTTTTCCTCGTCGGAACACATCCATCCATGCATCCATTGTACAAACTTCGATGTCGACCAATTTGCGAATGGTATGATAGGATTCAGAAAAAAATGAGCCTAAAAAAAATAAATAGTTGAGCACCATGTGTGAGCTCGGGTAAGAACCCCTACCCTTGAACCTATATAGCGACCATTCGTAGCATGAACCTCCTCGGAACTACGAACCCCGGCTTCGGCCAACACTATTATAGAGGCTCTTAAGTGGCGGCGCGTTCTGAAAATGTTTGTGGGCTCCTTTGAAAAAAGGAGAGCGGACACCCTCTGCTTCGGTTGGAACTGGGATGGTTAGCGATGGGTGTGGAGGTGTAAAGCTTCGCCGTCGAAGGTGTCGGAACATGATGTTTCCTGCAGGGACGACCCATTGGCCGAGTACGCATGATGTCGTTGACAGGGGCGACCTATGGGCGGAGTACGCGGTAGACATGAACAAGCGTTACAAGTCTACTTGTGGTGTGTGGGCTTTGTCGGCTCAGTTGACAGTATCTTGACCATCAATATGATGAGTGATGGGAAATTCATCGATGCTGTACACTACTGTTGTACGTCTTCGACAGTTACTTTTTTTTTTATACGCACGAACGCACAATTGTTGGTTGATTCTCGTCGGAACACATCAATCCATTGTACAATAGTTCACCTCCGATCTCGACATGTTTACGCGTATTGTTGCCTACCTGCCATGAAATTGAAGCCTCGCTGTCCATTCTACATACGCCCCATCTTTTCCCATATCGAAGCCAGCTCTTACAGTATTCTGGATTCTATTTTCCTTGTTGTGGGTTCTGGAGAGACTGTCAGGAACGATCCTCAGAACGATGGCTTGACTCCAAATCAATATCTGTTGCCTTGAGAATTTTTTTGAGAACGAATCGATTACACTACTAGACTATACCTAAAAAAAAGAACACTCGTAAAGGACCAGCACGGTTGCGCGAGGCAAGCTGCGAGATACTAATCATCACAATATGCTCCTTTCGGTCGGGAGTGGTGTGTGCACGTTTGCGCTGTTATTGTAGCGCACTTAAATATCCGATTATGTTAAGCAATCACCAAGTGCACACACTATGCCCCGTATATAGACGCTTGTGTACGTACGGGCGTCGCTATCATACATTCATGTCTTTTTTTTATTCTGACTCTTGGCTGTGCGTGTCTATTTTTTTTTCTCCTCCCCTCTGTGACTTGACGATAACAACGACACTATCGCAGAGCTGGAAAAAGCGCAAGGAGCACAAGGACCTCACCAAGCCGGTCCCGCAGCAGCACGTCATCGGCGGGAGCCCGAACTCGGAGGAGCTCAAGGCCGAGAACTCTCACGAAGGCTCACGCGCGAATTCAAACACCCGTAGCCAAGCGTCGGCCCGCAGCGAGCAGCTCAGCGAGCACAGCCTCTCGCAGCTCCAGATGGCCAACCAGACCGCGGCGGCGCAGCCCAACTACGGCTACACCTTCGAGCACGTGGAGGAGGAGGGGGAGGAAGACGACGACGACGACGACGCTCGCTCCGCGGCGACCGGCATGTCGGGGCCGAGCAAGTACGCCCCCAGCGGCTACGCGCCGAGCAACCACCAGGACGGTGTCACCCACGACCTCATGTCCCAGTACGAGCCGAGCGTTTACGAGGCCGACAGCCAGTACGACCCCAGCCTATACGGCAGGGAGTCGGAGTACGGGGACGAGTCCAGCTCGTACAGCTACAACGACGGCGCGGGGAGCCGCCGCGGTGGCTACGCCGGCGGCGGCGGCGGCGGCGGGCGAGGCGGACGCCACATGTCGGGCAGGGCGAGCGTGGCGGACACGGCCGCGATGAGCCACCTCGGCAGCGTCATGGAGATGGACGACGGGGGTAGCGCGTACGCCCCCTCGGAGTCCTACGTCTCTTCGTACGTCTCGTCTGAGGACGACGACGGGAGGCCGGCGCGTTCCATCCACCCGCGGGGGGGGCCGAACGACGCGCAGGCGATGGGGGGCGTCCCGACAGACGGCGGCAGCAGCAGCAACGGCGGCGAAAGCGGCGGCGGCGGCTACAGCCGCCACAACGCTCACCGCTCGGGCCGCCAGCCGGTCGCCAGCGGGCGCAGCGGGTTCGGGGCGAGCAGCGCGGGGAGCTCCTCTCGACACAGCGGGGCGCGGTCCGGGTTCGAGGGCGGAAGCAGGAGCTACGACGACGAGGACGACGAGAGCGCCGTGGGCAGAACGGCCGTGTCCATGGATGACCTCGAGTACTACTCCGAGGACCAGAACGCCGGCGGGATGACGAGCGGCCGGGGCGCGCCCCTGACCGATTTGGAGGAGACCCACGGCGGCCAGAGATGGTGAAGAAGATGACGCGGTGGACCCGGGGCGCGTCGAGTAGACTTCGGGCGATGCGCTTCTAGCGACGTGCTTGGCAGTGCACAGCGCGTTTGCTTTTCTGTGTTAAGCTCTTCCTTGCTAGGCGTTTCTGGTGCATGTGTTCTGCACACCATGCGGACTCGACGAGAATTGATGATGATTGGACGCGAGCCTATGTTGTAGTGAAAGCAAGGAGAGGCACGCAGGAGAGAAAAGTCGGCCGATCGTACCCTTGGTGACGATGATGGTCGTTTTTTTGGTACAAGTATAATGTTTCTTTGACTGTCTCAATCTTGTCTCAATCTTGATGTGCCGACTTGATTCTTACATGACCTCGTCGGGATCCGGAGGTCGTCAGCGTTGGGGGGTAGGGGAGGGGGGAGGGCCGGGGGTGATATATCGATGTGTTGGTAATTTTCATCGGGGTCAGTTGTGCGGTTGAATGTTGAAGGTGTTAATTTTTCTTTGTTTTTCGGCAGTGTCAACGGCCCACTGACGACGACGTGTGTCTTGTAGCTATATAGCGCTCCTCTTGTCTCTGCCTCCTTCCTCCAGCGGCCCCGAGGTTGCTTTGCTACTGCTGTGTGTACCCGTGATGTATGTTTCGTGCGTTGCAATTCGCGGGCAGTGAAGTGTGTATACGTCAGTCGCCGAGTAACATATAGCCAACAGCAGTGAGTGTCGGAAAGTGTTCGTGTTTTGTATGGGGCAGCAGTTTTTTTAAGGGGTGGAAGGCCGAGGATCGAAGAGGTGCGCCATCACAGGGTGCTTGCAGGGCAAAAGAGGGGGGGGAAGATGCCATGACAACCATACAGGGGGATACACGCGGCTTCGGGTCGTGATTATTTGCTCTTTTCCCCATTTGGTAGGTGCATCTGCGTAGATCCGTTGTTCCTGACCGCTCTCTGTACCACCGAATTTGTTGTCGCAGGGAGAGCGGCCTTCCAGTCTGCGTTTTTTTCGGTTTTTTTCCAGTTTAGAGTAGGAGACTGACAACGGTAGAACGCCTCTAGTTGACTGGATCGGTGGGTTGGTTAGACAATATGCATAAGTCTAGTCTGGTGTGCTGCTGTCTTCTGTTTGTTTGTTGTCCAGATATGGAAGTTCAAAGCTACCATTGCGGGGACGTGGGCGCCAGGTGTTCGTTGGCGTTGGTGAAGCTGATGAGACTGATTTAATTATGCCTTTGTCGTCCCTCCCCCCGCCACTCCCACGCCTACTGCGCTTCGTTGAATATGGGTACGCCCTTTTGGGCCCATGAAAAGGCCCCCCCGGCGGGTTCTCTTTCGTACTTCTGATCACTCCGCTGCGACACTGACCGGTGTGGATCGATCGCCACATATCTATGAAACGCTCTTGTGCGTGGGCAACAGGGAACCAAGCCTCCTCTCGTGCCGTGACCCGTCGTGTTACCCCCCCTGATTTTTTTGTACATGCGCGCAGAGATCGAAGTCCCTTGCGGTACTTGGAACGTGCCTACCGAATGAGAACCGTTTGGTTAGTTAGCCGGGATGCCCAACCAACCCATGGCATATGTATCTGTGGTTTGGCGCAGCAAACACGACAATGATGACCCTCCGTCCAGGCATTCTCGGAATGCGAGCGAAGTCAACGAATGGTCTCCAACGACGGCATGCGTTTACGTGACTACACACCCCGCTGCAGTAACCTCACAAGTTCGTTTCGTGCACAACATATATTTTTCCTCCGACGATCGTTCCGACGAAGGACAAACTCTATAGTCCAACAGTCGTTTTTTGTTTTTTTTGTTCCTTGATTTAGTGTTATGATACGCAGGAGTTTTCAACGCCTGGTCTTTTTCTGCGAGAGCTAGCAAGCAACAACAGCGTGGAAAAGACTTATTGGTGTCGGATGGGCTCTTGTGGCTCCAAAGACCTGGAAAACGTTGGACTGGCTGGAGTGCATGTATGTAGTAGTCAGAAGTAGACAGACAGAGGAGTACGGGGAGGAGGTGCGGCGAAGCTGTCTGATGTTCCTGTGAGCCGTGTCCCCGACACACACACTCGGAGAGGTGCACGGACTACTACTACTGCTGTTTTTTGCGATATACCGATGCGCACACGGGCTGTATGCAAATAACATGTTCTTACGGTAATCTCGATCCAAACAGCCGGCGCCGGTGAAGGGTGAAGGAGGAAGGAGGAATGCAGGATGCAGGAATTAAGGAATAATATAAACACACACAGAAAGGAATGCAGGAATGCAGGAATGCGGTGGATCAAAAGAAAGTTTGGCCGAAACGACATTGGTTGTCCCGCATTTTGGGTGTACCTCCATTGGTATTTTGTGGCGTACCTGTGACCTGTGCATGCTTCTACACAGATCGATCTCTGCTCTGCATCTTTAAAAATCTATACCCGTTCAAGGACGGCCGGCACGTTTCCTCATCATGGTCATAAAACGGAAGTAAAGAGATCAACTATCCGGACTTACGGCACGGATTTACTTATTGTTTCGAAAACAGGCTGTTCGCTCATATATGACATGTCCAACAGAGATTAGGATGTCAAAAGTTTGGCGTTTCCAAAACAAGGGCAGACAGTTACGTACAGTAGCATGCCATGTAAACGAGGCGTGTTCGTCGTACGAACGAGAATAATACGACAGGAAAATATGCAAACAGCAGTAGAGAGGGTGCGTACACACGCATATATTTTCGAATCCGCGTGTGGTGCGTACAATTTCGACCGGCCGACCCGCGGAGTCTCTCGCTTTCCACGGAGATGGCACCAGTATCCTTGAGGTACCAGCAGACAGGTTGCCATGGGTCGAGTACGCCAAGAAGAAAATCTGCGCGAGCCGTTCGCTGCTGGCAACATCGCTCAGGTATTACGGCAAGCACGTGCTTCGTTGAAGGAACCTTCACGGCCATTCACTCCCACAGAACGACGTGAGTGAATATGTACAAAGGATACTACAGCAGATAGGCGTACTCTACAGAGGAAAACCGTGACAACCTTGATTAGAATCCAATGTAGTTGCCTACTTCTGCGGCTGTGTACGTATGTCATCACCCGCTCCACTCGGGGAACGTCGCGTGCATTTGATGACTGTTCCTGCTGCTGCCTGTACTCCTGAACGACCAGTAGGAATAGCTACAAGACTTGTAGGAACCCGCCCATGTAAACACTAAACAGCAGTGGAACGTACAGCTTTGCAGCGCACAGGAACAGGAATCCTCTAAAAATAAGTACATACAATTACCGACACACAGCAGTGTCGAAAGTATACATCGTCCACGCAAACAAATAATCGCATTTCGTCATGTATGTACAAACGAAATTCTTCTGACATGACTCTCTGTCACAGGTATACGGAGCACCAAGTCGTTGTTCGGGGAGATAGGTTTTCGACCTGCCAATAACGACTTAAGCGAAGCTCGTCGGAATCGAAACGGTCTCACTGGGAAAAAAATCAGCCCGGACCATGTGAAGAGATCGAGAAGGGGGGGGGGTAGGTGTGGAAAGGGAAAGGATCGACGAAGAAAAGTGAACGCGGTGTCACCTTCTGGCATTGTTACAGCCGTCCCACCTGAAGGTGCTGTTTGTCCTTCACCAGGCTGGGAGTCGGCCATGAACACTATGCCACACGGAGAAGGTCATGCGACCAAGCAATTCACCGGTCACGCGACATCAAGCCGTGTATCGGTGTTGAACAACGGCAACAGTTATAGTAGTGGATGTAGTTCTTCATCGGCCAAACGGGGAAGAAGGCATCTCGGTGGTGGGGAGAATCCAAATGGCTCAAGATCTCGATCCATCGAGAACGAATGGGGTGACAGCAGGAAGCGGAGTAGCTCCATCGGGAGCAGCAGCAGCAGTAGCAGCAGCAGTAGTAGTAGCACCACCAGCACCACCAGCAACAACAACAGAACTTCGACAAACAAGAAAAGAACCGGAGGAGCGAGAACGGTAGCAGAGGCATCAGCTCAACCGGATGACGAGAGGGACGGGTACAGAGGGCTTTACGGTTCGGACGACGACATCGACACCACTGCGTGGGATCTGGGGTCCATCTGTAGCGGAACCTTGGGCGATGACGACGAACAAGAAACACCCGCAGGTCCCAGCCTCGTTTCGTCGGGGGACGATGCGCAGTGCTTGGGCCAAGAGTTCATCCTAGATGCGATCGACAACGAAGTCGACCTAAGCAGGAGGGACTTCGGGTTCGATGACGACGACGAGGAGGATGTCGCAGGTCAACGGCAAACGCAGAGCATCCCCGACGACGACCGAAGCGATGGGCCGCCCGATCCAGGCGCGCTGGAGGGACAGCGAGAGCGCAGTGCGCGGCTAACGGGGCTCCTTCAGATGTTTTCTCGGCACCTCGATCACGCCAACGAGGAGGAGAGAGTCAGGGGCCGCCACACGGATGGGGCGAAAAGGGAGAACCAGGGCCCCACCGATGTTGAGGCTCCCACTGCCCGTGCGCTCGTCGTCTTGTCGAGAGTGATGGATAGACCCTTGCGGGCCGCAGATGCTTCTCCCACGACTGTGACCGAACTCCCTGCGCTGCTGGCGGCACGGCTGGTTGTCGACCTCGTCTTGCGGTTGCCTCTCCCTGCTCCTCTCTCAAGCAAGCCTACGGAAGAAGATGGAACGGGGGGCGACGGCTGGAGCGCACGGCAACAGCTACTGGTGAAGGCGTGCAGGCATATGTTCGAGGTTAGCAAGAAGCCAGACGCGGACGAAGCTTTCTTTTCGTCGGGGGCGGTCACGGGGGTACTGGGGTTCGTCGAGCTATCAGCCTCCCATCTCGATTCGATTTCAGGAGCGTCTTTTCGAAAAAATCCAGAAAGGGAAGAGAGACCGGAGCTTGTAAGTGTTGAATACAGCAGTGCCTGTATCGGTGATGCTGGTGCTCACAACAGCTCCAACCGAACAAGGTGTTCAAGCAGCAGCATCGCTGACGATAGCAATGCCAGTGGCGATAGCGACTTAGGCGGATGCGTCCGGCACGTCGGGGGCATCTACGACTCGCTCACGTTTTCCGTCGGGTGTTTGAAGAATATTTCAGCTGATCAAGGCCTCCGGGATAGGCTCGTGCAGGCTGGCTCGATCCGAGCATTGTGCAGGCTCGTCCGCAGCACCCGCGACCTCTGCGGTCGATGCGAACGGTCGCAGAAGCAACAAGAAGAGACACTTCAAACGTCAATACGCCGTGTGCCTACTACCGAAAACGAAGAACAAACGAAGGCAGCCGTTAACGTCAGGGCATCTGCTGACTCTGGCGGGGAAGAGGTTGGCATTGGCGAACAAGACGAGAAGGGGCTTGACTGCGTTGACCTACTCCGAAGGCGTGTCTCTCCTCTCCTCGCGCAGGCGATCGGCTTGGTCCGAGATCTTGTCGTAGACGAAACGAACGACAGAGTTCGAGCCGCCGGCGTTGTCAGTACGCTGTGCTCCATTCTTCGACCCTTCCGCAACCACCAAGACGTGGTACTCAACACGTCCCGGGCACTGGCGAGACTTAGTCTGCACCAACCAACGAGAGAGCTCATCGCATCGGAACCAGGTCATGTGCGCGACCTCCTGGCGGCGTTATTGGAACAGAGCAGGGATATAGACCCCGGTTTCAAGAGCATCGAAGAGGGCTATAGAGACTCGTCGCGCGCTACTAGTACCACGGCCGCTGTTGCTCCTGTCGAGCACAGGCAACACTGGGAAAACCAAGGAAAGCGCGTCGCGACCTGCGTGCGAATCGCGTTCGCCCTCGGGAACTTAACCTCCGCTAGCGACGAGAACCGCAGGCTGATAGGCCTTCGGCTCGGCGGGGCGGAGAGCCTTCCTGCTTTCCTGCACAGTTTTTCGAGGGATTATTTTATGGCCTGGGAATGCCTGTGCTCTGTTGAAACCCATCATGCTGCGTCTGTGGATGGAATAACCGAAACCGGTAGAAGTAGTGCCTGGGGGGCAAGAGGAGCTCCCGCCGTCGTGCTCGGGGAGTGCTGGGCAAGAAGGACGTTGAGACGGGCGTGTTACGGTTTAGAGGAAATGCTGGTGAAGGCGGTGCGTCTCCTGGCGAACATCAGCATTCACCGGGACGTAGGGCAGCGGGTTTGTCGCCACCCGGGACTGGTTGCCTTGGAACCGCTGCTAGGAAAGTGCCTGGAACTGTACGTGCTGTCTGAAGACGGGGCTCTACCGCAGGCGGGTCTTTGTGACCAGCGGGGAAAACGATGTTGGAGTCAAGGTGGCGATTGGGGCAGCGGTGCGGGACCGACAGAAGCCGCGACCATTCCCGGCGAGGAGCTGCTCCTGAATGCCGTCTGCCTGATAACAAACCTTTCCTACTATGGACCCGCAGCGGCAAACTGCACCCCATCATCACCGGTTCGCCGCGCACTCCCTTCTATCTCTTCTACGAGAACGCCTGCCGGTGTCAGCCGCGTGGTTGACCGTAGCGATGGTGTGGAGCCGTCTGTTTCAGCCGCCTTGGGAAGGCCGCCTCAGGGGAACATTCTCTTCGCTCTTGCCGGCAAGGCTCGCCGGGACGTTGACGAGGAACAGGAAACGATAGCCTCAACGGGTGGTAGCGTTGAAAAAAGCGCCCGCCCAAGGCCTGACGGGTGTTTTCGTGAAGAGGTAGTCGGCGCACCCGCACTAGCGGTGACGTCCCAACGCTGTCGTCCCGCTACCGGTTCAGGAGAGTACGGCGGTGGTACTGGTGGGCGGACGCGCGAAGAAGTGCTCTGCGGCCACTTGGTGAAAGTCTTGCTTCACCCGAACGCTGAGGCAGTGGCGGAAGCGGCGCGGGCTTTCGGAAACTTCTCGCGTGACCCGTCCTGCAGGAGGGCCCTGACCCGCCGCCGCGCCGACGAGGTTCTGGTGGCGCTCATAGGCCACCCTTGCCGCGAGGTCGTCTTCGCCGCGGTGGGCGCGCTGGTCAACGTTGCCACCGACCCCGCTTGCAAGGCGCTGCTGTGCCGCGAGAGCGTCGGCGCCGGTGAGAGGCTCGCGAGGCTGGTTCGGCGCGCGGGGCTAGCCGACCCGGGCATGGCCGAGCTCGCGTGCCAGGCTCTCCACAACTTGTTGATCGAGCCAGGGTTAGGGGTGGACGCGGTCCTCGGAAGCCCCGAAACGTTCAAGAAGCTTTGGTGGACGCTCAAGGAGTTGATGGAGGCCTGCTCGTGTGAGGCGCAAGGCGTTGAGCGCCACCGGGAAAGGGATAGAGGGGCACAGTTTGCAGCTGTTGGTGGCCACAGCAGGAACTCCCGGGAACTCGAGGGGTTCCTAGCGGCAGCAACGGCTGTCTGGCGAGCGATGAACGAAGATAGCGTGGATTGCATGGCGCCGCAGGCTTCGTTCTTCGAAGAATTACACGTAGCGACGTAAAACCAACGCGTTTCTGGTAGCTTTTGTGGGAGCGGGGGGCGGGGGGGGGGTTGTCGCCGCTGGCTTTGTCACGTGCCGACCATGTGTTCGCCGTCTACCTGGATCGCTATCTTAGGTTTGTCATTGTTCGTGGCCTACGTATTGTTCGCGCGTTTGATGTCGTCCCTCTCCACGTTCGACAACCGAAGTGCAGATAGATGCAGCCGTCCTTTTTCTCGGGAGGTTTGTCCGTGAGCGTGAAAGAAAACAGGCGCAAAATCCTTCCGGGAGCGTGAACATGATGTTAAAGATAGCAAGCACCATAACCTCAGAAAACGTAACCACCGGAGGCGGCTGATTGGCTGGTGATACCCTCGACGAGGAGCCCCGCGGCACATGGCCTACACGCGGAGGCATACTGCTGGGACACACAGCGTTCCATTCTCACATCCAGTCTATCAGCATCAAATGCGCGTGGCTGATCTTCGTGTGTCATACTGTTTTGTTTCTGCCACACCTCCGTATTTCTCTCTCTGTGTCTTTCCTTTTTTCTGTTTCTTTCTGTTTTTTTCAAGTCTGTGGTTTCCTCACATAGCGTGTAGAGGCGAGCGGAGGGTCCTATAGACTATCTGTCGTTGATTTCAATTGACTTGCGGACCCTTCGGGTTCATTTTTTTTTCGTATACCTTTGTTGGGTAAGTTAGCCTGTGACCACGGGAATCGTCCGCGTCAAGTGTTGGACTAGTACGGACAGAAGAAGGTACTGGGTAGAGAGACCGGAATGTTTTCTAATGTGAAGACAACAATAACAACAACAACAACCTCCACGACGTAGGGGGGGCTCTTCCGATCGGCGGAAAACGCTTTCGAAGAACATTAACATTCCTCTGTTTCGGAGGCGTGTGAGGAACATCCTCTTACTGCAAGCCTATCGTTTAGTCGTGCTATCGAGGCTTGTTCCGTTTCCGAGCCTGAGCGATGATGCACCTTTCGTCGTTAAGGGCCTTCTTGACCTCTACTCTGCCCTCTTTCACCTCAAGAAGTCAGGAGTGTTCATTTTTCGTCTAAGGCAGGACTTCCCGGACAGCTTTTTTTGTTTGGGTGCCTTTCGTTTCGGCTAGCAGCTGCCAATTCCTTCATCTGCCTATAGTCGAAGCGTACGGAAAAGAGGAACTGGATGGAGGCGGGAAAGTATTATTCGTTCGGTGAAAGCCAACGGCAGCCGCAGCAGCAACGGTCGCAGCCACAATATACACACACGCGTATAGCCACATGAACAACATGAAAAGGAATCACAGGGAGGGGGTAAACATTCGTCTGCTTCACGCCTCTTTTCGCCGAAAAATACCGAGCCCCCCCCCTCCCCCCGAGCAAACAAGCAAGGAAATAATGCCCTACAGTACATCACGTGAGACCCACACCTAACAGATAGACTAAACGTACGAATACTTGCAGGCTTCCTACAACGACTGCTAGCACAAAGCAACGGTGCGAGAAACATTACCACAACACGGAGAAATTGGTAGCGAACCCTTCACCCATCCGGAGACCGCGAAAATATAACAACCAGCAGCGTCTAGGCGCCGCACGGAGCTGCACATCGACGCCCAAAAACAGAACAACACAACTGTTCTACTAAGAAATAATAGTGACATCCTACAATGACAAGAAAAAAGAAAAAACTACGGAGGCTATTTCCTGTCCATAAATTTCCTTTGCAACGCCCTTCCACCGATGGGGGCATATTTCAGTAACACAAACAATCAGATGATGATGCTAATAATACTTGTAACCCCACCCAACAAGTGCACAAATGAGGTGTTGTGCGTACGCGTGACCAAAAACTTCTACCGGCCCCGTGGTGCGAAATGCAGCTACTGCTGTAGCTCTGACCGTGTTGTCTTTGCGCCGTGAGCAAGCTGTGAATACACAAACAAGCGAGCGGTTTACACATCAACACCAACCAATAAAACTCTCCGGGCTATTGACACAACGAACAACAAGAGGATAGACAGCGTCATCATCACCAGGTGATAGCTCTTTGTAAAGGTTTTATTAAGTACGAACCCACGTGCTGACCAGGCTCCCTTCTACCACATCGTTTTTCACGGAGAGAGCTAGCTCTATTGCTAAACAAGACACTGCCAGGAGACCTTTCCCTTCCACAAGCATTCTAGGCGCTCGTTACCACACGGACGGCACTGCACTCCAGTTGGTCTTAGCGCGGGACTAAATATGGGGTCCGCGTAAACCAAACAAGAGCTTCGTGCCAAATACAACGTCGTGTGATATGGTAATGCAAACACACCTCCGCGGCATTTGTACACCAACCGAAAACCTATTTGCCACGCCGCGTTACTGCCGTCTCCAACATCTAGTGCGTCATGCCGAGCCTATCTCGCCAATAGCCCGACGTGTGCCGCCGCATGTAAGCAGCCGACGTGCCACTGCCGCTGTCGGGCCAACCGCTGGCCGTGCCCGCTGCTGCCGAGGTCTCGGTCGCGTCTACGGCACCAGACCCCGCCGCTGGCACCTTCCACGTCGATAGTGGGTCCGAGTGTCTCCGCCACGACTCCCCCCCCGGCGCAACCTCCTGTTCGCCGTGCTCTCGATGATCCTGCCCCCGCACCGACGACAGAAGCGGTGACATTACCCCGCCGTGGCTAGCCGCAGCGGACACCACCCGCTGCAGCAGGCGCTGGCGCTGGTAGAATATTTCTTCCTCGTTAGCGCCGCCGTCCTCTTCGTTCTCCAGCTGTGCCTCGGGGGGAGGGGGCGGGGGAGGGGGCGAATCCTCCGGCCCAGAGGCGAAGGCGCCGCCGACCTGGGTGCAACTACGAGCGAGTACGGCTTGACCTCCGCCGGACGACGGCCTCGCCGCAGGGCCAGGGTCTCGGCCGAGCGAACAGTCTCGCCGATCCTGACTCCCGCCACTCTCCCCGATTCGTTTGTCCGTTACGCCTCCGCCGCTATCGTTGTGGGAGTAGATTCCCTCGATCGCCAACGCCAGCCACGCCCCGACCACATCCGGGGGTACTCCCCCAAGCCCAAGCGAGTTTTCCTTTTGCGGGCCCCCCGGCGCGACGACTCGATCTGCCTCGGCGCCGTGCTTCTTCGACCACTCCGAGAACAGCGTAGGAGCCGACCACGACCGCCGCTGCCGCTGCGAAGACACTTGTTGCTGCTGCGCACGGGGCAGCGGCAGAGCGCCGCAACTTCCCCCGGCACGGGTCTGCTCGCCCTCCCTTTGAGGAGTAGCGCAAGCATCGTACCGAGGGGCTCGGTAGGAACCCGACGATGCCCGGAGCCTCGAGTCCGCGAAAAGCTCCCCGGCGAAGGAAACACCTATCCGCGAGCTGTACGACAACGGCGGCCCGGTGTCGTCCAGCGGGGCGATGGTGTTTAGGGTGCTGGATGCCCGGAGCACAGACGAGCGCGTCACGTCCGCGAAGGAGTCCATGAACAGCGGCCCGCTCCCCGAGCTCCGGTCTACCGCTGTCCCCGCCCTTGGAACCCGCGGCACGCCGGCGGCGAGAAACGGAGACTCCCTCCGGCTTGAGGAGGACTCTGACCCCCGCGCCCAATCGCCGGCTCCCACCCCGCCGGTAGCGCTTGACGCTCGTCTCTCTGCCGCCGGCCCGTCGTGAGCCTGGCGACCGAACCCCTGACGAGTCTTCTCGCCACCCGGCGACGCGCTCCCCTCCCCCTCGCTGAGGATCGTAGAAAGTCCGTGATCCTGCTGCTGTTGCTGGCATCGTCGAGCGCTCATAACTCGCGGCTCGCCCCCGCCCCCGTTACCCCCACCCCCTCGCCGCCCTCCGGAAGGGACGACCACGTTCTGGGATGCGCTGTGAGGTAGCCCTGCGCGGGCGACCGCGGGGATCGGGCTAAGGTTCGGGCTGTCGAAAAACGATGAGGTTTCGGACTTTGGGGCAGCTCCTTCAGCTAGATTCTCGTCGCTCTTCCGCCGGGGCCGTCGGCTCGGGGTGTGGCACAGAGGTAGCCGGGATTGCCGCGGCGTGCAGCACGGTCCTGGATCTGCCACTGGTACTGACGGCGGATTTGGGCGGACGGCATGGGGGGACAAAAAGAAAAAGAAAAACGTTGTAATTGCGGTACTTACTGCCGTATAGGTACGATAACCATGGCACAACATTGCGCGGTACAGTATCTTGCTGGAAAAGGGTGTAATCAAGATGATACGTGCAAGCTCGAGGGGCTCGCATGTTACACCGTAAACTCTGAAGACCGCAACCGCTGAAGACCGCAACTTTCACAGACCCGGCTTACCATCACCGGGAACACACACCGCAGCCCCCGGCGCCGCCCTCTCCGGCTTCCCTGCGGGGCGACTTGCGAGGCCCGCCGTCCCCGCCGCCGCCGCGCCTTCCTCCGCCCCTCTTCGGCAGCTCCTCCCGTCCGCCATCCGCGTGGACAGCGGAGGGTTGGCCGGGATCGAGACGAACCGGATCTCATCGCGGGCGGAGAAGCTCCAGCTCGTCTGGCACCCGGCGTCCACCCCCACTGACACCCTCTCCCCCTTTGGCGGATCTGCTGCTACCGTAGCCGCGTCCGCGGAAACAACGGCGCCGCACTCGATCGGCAAGCAGCTCCGGTCTTCTTCCTCCACCCCGCCACCATCTCCGTCGAGCTCGGCGGACGCGCGGGCGAAAACATCGGCCATACAAAGCTCCGGGCTGTGGGGGTCCGGCAGAGGGCTCTCACGGCCACGCGGAGGCCGTCCGCCTGCCCCGCTTCTTCGGCGACTGCTGCTCTCCTGTTTCTGCTCGACCTTGAAGCAAGACGGGGCCGGAGGCTTGCGTCTCGTCGGTACCGTGGCGGCGGAAGAGGCTGCCTTCCCGGTGTCGGGCCGTCTGCCCCTGCGAACGGCGACGCCTAGGTCCGAGGCGGCGGTGGTCAGCATGTGCTTCACCGGCGTCTTGAGGCTGGCGGTAGCGCACGCGTCCGAGAAAAACGCCTCCTCTACAGCAGCGTCTTCCTCCTCCTCCTCCTCCCTCACCAGCCTCTTCGAGCGACCACGGCCGCCGTCTTGCGCGGAAGAAGCCCCCCCCCCCGTCACCCACGGGAGCCTCGCCTGTCCCGCGGCCCCCCTGCCGACCTTCGGCGACGTCGCCGCGGCGGCGGACGGCAGCGCCGGGGTCAGGGGAGCGTCCGTGCCGAAGTCCGTGTGGTTGTTGATGTGGCTGAGGGTGTCGATGCTGAAGTCGAACGCCTCGTTGTTGATGGCGGACTTGCTCCCCTCCTCCCCCCGCTGGCCTCGAACCCCTCCCCCCTCGTCCCCGCTGCCGCCCGGAGTCGCTTCGCTCTCTCCGGGATCGAGCAGCGCGTCTTCGAACGCCGGGAAGTGATCCCGGGGAGTCGTCGCCGCACCTCCCCCGGTACCCGCGAACGGGTTCCGAACCACGGCGCCCCGCGGGGTATCTCTGCAACCGCCCTTATCCCGACCAGTCTCGACGGCCTCGCCAACAACCAGGGCTGCCGTCCCGATGGCGGCCACGGCTTCTCTTTCCCCCTCCTCCCTTAGCGCGGTGCTCGTGGCGGAACCCGAGCGCTCAGGCCCGCTCCGCCTCTCTTGCACCGCTAGCCTCGTTCCGAGCTCGCGCAGCTGGGCCTCTCTCTTCTGCTCTGATCGCAGGACGTGCTCTCTCAAGGTGCTTAGCTCGGCCCGAAGCGCGCGGATCGTGGCCGCATCTTCTCCCCCCGCCTCTGCCCCCGTTTCGCTTGCCTGGAACGTGACTTGCGCCCCTGCTTCGTCGTCGGTGCCATGGGCGGATCGGTCATGGGCACGTGATCTCCGCGGCGTCGAATCGCCTCGCGCCACGCCAATGGGTTCTTCGGCTTGGTCGTCGGATTGCGTGCTTAGCCTTCGCCGTGAAGATGGCAACAAACCTTTTCGGTGGTGTTCGTGGGTGATGGTGCCCCCAGCTGCTACAGCGGTAACACCTTCTTCGTCGCTAATTGCCGCCGCCGCCGCAGAGCTCCTTCCCCCGCCGCCCAGCTCAGAATCCGTCGGCCTGGCGGAGGGCGAGGGGGAGAGTCCGGGCGATGGACTGCTGTCGTCGTTTCCTCTCTCGGGGTTGACATTCGACCACGGCAGCTCCTCACAGCAGTCCGAAGCCGCCAGCTGCCGCCTTGGACCGCTCTCGTCGTCGTCGCTGCTCCGCCCCGCCTCCTCCCCGTCCCAGTCGGAGCTCTCTTCGGCCGGCCGCTTCGGCGAGGACAGGCCGCCTTCGAGCCCCGCCGGAGAGCTTTCGGCAGAAGAGCTCGGCTTCTTCCTCGACTCTTCGCGTGCGCCCCTACCACCGCCGATGGCACTGGATCTTCCCGTACCGCCGGCGCCACCAACAAGAGCACCACCATGGCTGCTGTTAGGTGCCGTTCCCGGCGAGACAACCCCTTGCCCGTCATCCTCTTCGCTGTCCCACGCCTCACTCTCCCCGCCGGTTTCGAGCGCAAGCTGATCGCCGTCCCCGCTTCCTAGTTTTCCTCCGGCGGCGGCGGCGACGTCGTCTTCGGCGAAGGACAATGCCGATGCCCGCAGGGGGGCGGTGGCGGCGGTGGTCGAAGCGGCGTCTTTGCCAGCGGCGGCGGCGGCGGCGGCGATAGCGTCGAAGTCGTCGTTGTTGTCGTCATCGTCGAGGGCCAAGATGCCCGAGAGGTCTGCACCGCCTGCTACATAGGGTTGTTGGTAACACGTGGTATGAGATGGGCATGGTTGGCAGCAAAAGTTGGTGGTGAGAGAATGGGCAAGGCCTGGGCGGATGGGGGGGAAACAGAGCGGGGTACTGCTGAACACGGCGGGTACAGCAGTAGTAATGAAAACGAAGGGGTGGAGCCACTCAAACCGAACGGCTGCATCCTGCGCGAGGGCGCAATAGCCGATGCGATGCAAGAGAACTCGTGACCAATCTGTGACGCGGCTGGTTTATATATAGGCCGTTACCCAATACGGATCCCACACACTGCTGTATGCAAACCCTGCTGACCCTTGCTGCTGCACCAACAACAACACTGCAGTACCTTTCCGGAAGTACGAGACACGGGTGATGGGGTTTGACTGAGCAGGACACGCATGTCGTATGCATAGATGTCAAGAAGCTTGTTTGGTGTTCTGGTGCTGTGCGTACAGAAGAACACAGACAGCTCGCCCGAGCCGAAAATCTGCTATTCCGCTTTTATGCAACCACAATGCAGCCTAGTAGTGGCAATCAAGCGTGGCCAACGGCGATGACCGACTGCGGCAAGCCATCCTCTTGTCAAGGGCCGACGTTTCCCATGAACCAGCCCAAGTTAATTTGTTGCTGGGATGATAATCACTGGAGGCTTGTAGGTACTGCTGTAGATCGCACACAGAGCATCTTCGGCGGTGTCACTGGATCCTCGCTTGCAGTCTTGAACAAGCTTGGGGCGATCCATCAGAATGCAGCACTCTTTCTTCAATCATATGTGTCTGCATATCTATTGTACAAAGCTGTGTCATCCTGTACCACCACGGGAGCTGCGAGCAGCAGCACGGCAGCAATCCATCCTCCTCAATCCTTGCCGTTGAGGATTTTTGCACAAAAATATCGCTACGCACCCACCCAGATAATCTCTTACAACTGCCCGGATCAATGAAACCGCATGTTAGTCACGCTGTCCACCACACTTCGCGAAGTTCTCGCGATCCTCATCGCGGCTCACGTCGAGGAAGTCTCCGCGTGAACGCGAAGGCCCCGTCTTTGCGCGGTTGCTGCCTCTGCCTCACCTATGCTGTTGTGCACCCCCGAGAGCTTGCCTATGGCGCTGTCCTCGACCTTGTCGCTATCCTCCACCTCATCTAGGGATCGAAACTCCTCCACCAGATCCAGCGCAGACATTCCGCCTGGCGGCCAACCTCTTCCCCTCTCTCCGGACAGGAGACAGGCAGGCAGGAAGGCAGGACACGGCGGCAGCCGCAGCAGTAGTCGTACGGAGCGCAGAACACCTCCAGCGGCAAAAAAAAGGTTTTCCATGTTGAAGGCGAGGCATCATGCGGGAGAACACGAAGGGACCCCCGCGGGCCCCGTGTGCATGACACCCACACGCTGCTGATGCTGCTGGTGCTGAAGCTACTGCGAGATAGAGCGGGAGAGCAGTGAATCGACGGCAGTGCAGAGACGAGCGCACCAAGCTAGGGCTATTGGACGCGTACGATATATATACATCCATACGAAAGGGAGGTTGCGACTTGTGTCGAGCGCAAGAGATGTCTTCAATTGGGGGCCTATGTCTTCCCGACATGGTTGCGGCAGCTCTCGCCTTCCTAGATGGGCGATCCCTCACTGTCTTCGAGGCGGCCTCCAAGGGCTCAAGGCAGACGGTGCAAGACAACCCAGACCTGTACAAAACCCTCCTGGTGAGAAGCCCGCTCAAGCTGGTGCTATGTGGTCGATTTGGTTTCGTTATTTGTTCCGTTTTCTTGCGACGTGAATCCTCCTCCCAGACAGCAGTACTGTCTGTTGTAGCGGGCAGCAGGCAGCAGTAGTTGCGTACGCCACGCGTCGGGAGCAAAAGGAGAGAAAGGTGGGTAGGAGAGATATGTTACATCTGGTGGTCGAGCGCACAGATGGGAATCGTATCCTACATCACGGCCGCCCTGTGGAGAAGCCGAAAAATCAGTGGAATGCCGACCTGATGTATACATTCGCAAGCAGTTTCGTGCGTAACGATTTGCACCGCTGGGCCACCATCTCTTCTTGCTCATCACGTTCCTGCTCCCTTGTGTGTGTACGTGCTTGCATGGATTACTGGCTACCTGCCTCCGCCGAGCAGCTGAGGCAGGTCGACAACGTTCCACGCATGGCTTCTCTTCCAAGCGAGGTGGGCGCGGCGAGCTACATTAGGATATAATAAGTACACTATTTAGTCTACTGTACTGTGCAAGTTTGGGTTGGCCTGACGGCCGTCGGTTGGCGTATCGGCACGACCACGCCTCCTGGAGTGGGTACAACGCTCCTGGGTGTCAGGGTCGCGACATCGCAACCCCCCAGTTGTAGGCAGCACCAATCACGTGGGGCTGGATTGATCCAATCCGAAGTTGTAAGAGGCATGCGATGCGTCAGAAACACCGACACCTTGAGCATAAATGCGCGTGGTCTAAGCGCTGTTTGTCACGGTTCTCCCGCCGACCCGGTGCACAGCAGCACAGCAGTAGTGAGGTTAAAGCAGACGCCCGAAGTCAAGACCTGTGTTCGTTCCAGGTTGGTACATGCGACACCCACACCCAGAAGACTTCGTTGGCGGCCCGCAGCACGTTCTGTCCGTCACACTCTTGTTTCTTCGTACCCGTAGTAGAGAAAGACAGGAGTGTCTCCTTTCAAAAATCGATATTAACCTCCCGCCATTGTTGTGAATTTTGCTGTGTACTACCGCAGGAAGGGAAGCGTGCCCTCATGGCATGGGAAGAAGGGGACTTTCTGCCGATTCTAGGTGAGATAGCAGGAGATACGGTGCTGACATGCTACATATTGGACGAGGTGCTGCTGATAAATAGTGTAAATGACAGCAACACATACCGTTGGTGGAAAACGGGGGGCGATGTATCACCCTGGCCAGTGGCAGTAGACTCAAGGACAGCCCCCCAGGTGCGTTAAATCGGTCACATGAACTCTTTACTTGCAGGTCCCTGCGGTTATTGCAGCACAAGACAGTACTGGAATGAATTTTACTCGTTTGTTTCCATGCGCAGTAGAAGCTTGACCGCGGATCTCTGAACCGTTTTGGCCAGGAGTCATACCACCGCCCCCGCCCGGCAGAAAGCCCGGGGACTTTGTTGTCGTATCTCCACGTTGCCCTTCACGTCCCACCACTGTCATCATCATGGCGTTCACCCCTTAGCGAAACGAAGCCAAAAGACTGATTGCAATGTCTTGCGTATTTTGCAGCACGAGGTTGTGCGGTCAATGGTCGTTTTGTTTTGGCGTTCAAGACGACTCGACTCTTCTAAAATATATTGGGCACACGCACGTCGTACCAGGCTCCTCATCTCATCTCATCCCTCGTTGTCCTTCCGGCGTCCGTCGGGCGCGGCGCGGCGCGTTTGGTGTCGTTTCAGCGCTCGTGCCGCGGAGAGCGCCGCCCCCGAGGTACCTGCACCGGGCGGCGGAGGCTGCTGACGGCTGGACGTACGTACACGGGGGCCACCTCCAGTCGGGGCTGTCGGGCGACGTGTGGCGCTTCCGCATGTCGGACTCCAAGCGGCGGCGGGGCCCAGACCCCAGGGAGGACGAGACTGCTGTAAAGTTGCAGTGGGAGCAAGTCTGGGGGGGCAACGACGAAGACTGGGCGAGGGAGACGGGATCAGGGACAGGCGGGGGGAGTCTGAGCGGCAGTGACAGTGATGACGACGACGACGATGATGGTAGCTGGGGTCATCCCTCCCACGCCGTGCCCCCTCCCGACGCGGCGGCGGCGGTGGCGCCCGCGGCGCCCGCGCCCGACAACGTGAACCACGGGCCCCTGCCCGCGGCGCAAATGTTCGCGGCTCCCGGGCAGGAGATAGCCCTCGGCGCGGCCCCCGCGGCGGCCGACCAAGCCGCCCCGCCCGCCTTCGGGGCTGCCCTCGGCGCCGGCGCGCAGGCCGCGTTTCACGCCGCTATGTTCGCGGCGAATCACGGCGTGCTTGGGGCCGGGTTCGAAGACGCAGGGGGGGGAGTCGATGCCGCGGGCGCCGGCGCCGGCGCCGGCGCGGGGTCCATGGCGTGTCCCCGCCCCAGGTGCGCCGCGAGCTGGACGGCGTTGCCAGGCAGCAACAAGATATTCCTGTTCGGGGGACAGGGCTCGGACAACAACTTCTTGGGAGACCTGTGGTGCTTCCACGCTGGGGCGCGGGGCGAGTGCCGCTGGGAACAGCTGGACCAGGTGCGGGAGCCCAGGCCAAGCGGAGACGGCGGAGGCGGCGGCGGCGGCGGTGGCGAAGAAGAGCACGGCGATAACGACGTAGGAGGACCGGGGGCCCCGTGGAGGGTTCCGGCCGGCCGCTGGGGGCACACCATGGTGGAGCACCGGGGCGCGCTGTATATGTTCGGGGGGAGTTCCCCCGGGACGGCGTTTGCGGGACTGTGGCGCCTCGACGTTTCGGTGTCGCCGTGCGTGTGGTCGCTAATGACTCCGGGCAGGACTGCGGTGTCGTTGGAGGAGGGGGGGTTAGCGGAGGCTGCCGGGGGTGAGAGGCCGCCGGCGCGGGGGGGGCACTCGGCAACCGTGGTGCGCGATACTCTCTACATCTTTGGCGGTAACATCACACAGGTACGCGGAGTCCTTGTCGTCTGCAGTGCCGAATGAGGTATTTTTCTGTATGTTTCTTGAAAGCGTTTTAGGCCAAGCATGACACTAGACTGAAATGCTGGTTGCGGGCACGTGGATTGTATTCGACCCCGTATCATCCAACGCTAGCACTCGATAGGGTCGATTTTCGCGGCTGTGTTTGCCCGCCGGGATACCGCTTCCCGCTGCCACGGCTTCATGCAGGTCGTCATCCAAGCCAAGCTCATGAAAATAGCGGTAGTTGGCAGGAAACGGGAAGGGGAGCAGCTTTAGCTTTCCTGTGGCCCATCGCCATTCGATGGCAGGCACCGAAGCAAGCCCTACGTCCCGTTGACGGGCATTCGTGCCATTATAACTTGGACGTTTACATGCCTATGCCAATGAAGCGTGGATACACCAAGAGTCGCGAAGACAAGGGTTGTATGAGTATCGTGTACTCCGTGTTGTCTTTCTCCGCCGCTGCCTCCAAGATTCTCTTGCGTCTCCCGTGACGTCCGTGTGTCGTGTGCCGCCTGCCGGTGTAGAGCATGTTCAGGGATCTTTGGGCGATTGACCTGCCGGACTGCAAAGCCTGGCGTCAGGTGGAAGAGACCGACGACTTTCCGCCGGCACGCATCGGCCACAGCGCCGTAGCGGTGGGAAACCGAATCCTCATCTTTGGCGGAAGGAACTTCAAGTCAGGCAAGAAGTGTAACATCTCTTCCGGCGCGTGTCATTTTTGGCTAAGTTTTCTAGGGGGGGCGTGGTCGTTGCTCTTGTTCCTTTAGTCTCGAGGAATTGGGATCGCGCGTGGACTATTGTGGTCTTGCATGAACTGTTGTGGTCGTGCGTGAATTGTGGTTGTGGCCTTGCGCGCACGCCTGCTTGATAGCGACACGCCAGGTGTCTGGGTAGTATTATAGTTAAAGTTGCCAATGCTGCTGCTGCTGCTGCTGCTGCTGCTGCCGCAGCCAGTTGCATCGCATCATATCATGCACACACCTAGATAGCGTGTGCTGCATTGATACTACACAATTATCGTTCCTGTTCCCGATGTCTCCCACGGCTACGGTCTCGACCACAAAGTTACCTGATTGTCGTTTCCTCCTTCCAAGAGGCTTGACTCCTTCAACTATGTTTCACCTTTCGCTGTCGAAGATTCGCCGAAAGTTCTTACCCCGCGGGGTGAATCTTATTTCACCTGCCCCGCAGGGGTACACGGAGACGAATTGAACCCGCGCGTCCCGCCCCGCTGACCCAGATCTCCGGTTTCTTGCCCCAAGTGCCAACAGGTGTTTTCACGTGCGGGCTGTCGTGCTTCGACGTCGATCTCCAGGCCTTCGTGCACTTCCCGCACGCCGAAGCCTTTTCGCGAAAGTCCTCCCAGCCCAGAGGCATGTGGTACGGCCTCCGCATGACCGGTCACGCCGCCATGCACTGCTCGCGGGGCCTGCTGATCGTCGGGGGGATGCTGCCCATTGGCCAGTCCTTCACCATGCGCGCGTGGACCCTCGACGTTGTGACGGGATGCTGGGGGCGCAAGCAGCAACGGCGGCGTCGGCCCCGCGTCTTGGGGAACACCCCGGCGGGGTGCGCTCCGAGCTGAAGAGCCACGTATCTGTGGGGCAGCCGCCGCCGCCGCCGCCGCCGCCGCGGGCGAGAGGCTCCGCTGGCGACAGGCATCGAGGTTCGGGTGCGTCGACACTACTGCTGTAGAGGGAGTTGGCCCTCAATTGGGCGGAGGCAGAGGCGACCGAGAGGATGTGGTGTTGTTGCTCGGATGGATTAGGCTTTTTCTCTTGCCCCTCCGCGAGGACCGGACTGGCGGGACGGAAAACAGAGGAGTTATTTCGTTGTCCTGGAAAGGGAGGGATCGCTCTTCTCCTTTGCGGGTTATGTATGGGACGAAAACATTTTTCACCAGGAGTTTGGTCGAGTCCTGCTTCCATTTTGCTTCGAAGGCCGGTGGGTTTGCGATGGTCCCCGGTAGTGTCGCAGTTGGTAGGGCTTGCCCACGGTAGGTTGTTAAGAATTGATATTCCGCGTGGGTGCTGAAATACGGTGTAGTAATTTATAAACCAAGTCTCCGTTGCAGGAGGTGAATGTTTCTCGGCAAATTGGGTCGTGTACGAATGCTTTGTTCTGGGCGGTAGCTGTTCTTTGCTGTGCTTCTCACGTATACTAAATAGCGGGTGTCTGTGAGTAGATGTACAGAGACAGGGTTTGTCGGTATAGTTGGGTTTGGCGAACAACCGCCTCGGCGTAGCATACTGTATGTAGCTCACACCAAGAAAAAGCAGGGGGGGGTTGGAACCCGTTTTCCGGGTGGTTGGAAGTTGGAAAGATGACGTGTATTTGTTCGTATTTATCGTAGGTTGCCTTTTGGAAAACACTTGCCTGGGAGTGAACGTGACGAGAGCGAGCAGGACCGACTGCCGAATCCTTGTCGCGTCAAAGGAATTATGTAAGGCATCACCGCCGAGGATTTATTGTGTGTGGCCTGACCCGAATCGGAGCTCTTCAGACAGAGAGGCAAGGCCGTCGGATAGGTACACTAGCAGCGATGGCCAAAAGTAGCGCAATGATAATGAATGATAGTTTCGAAAGCTGAAGTATTACTGTAGTTTCAGTGCTATACCGGGGGTACCGTTTGTTTAGTGTTGTGCCACCTTTCACTTGGTCATGATCAGGGAACCTTACTGCTGTCATTACCACCGAAAAACCAAAGGCTCGTCGATTATCATCGTGCTGGTAAATTCTCGTGTCTCCAGGAGGAGCTAGCTCCACGGCGGTTGTTGCACCGTCTCCGATTGATAACTCAAACAATAATAGGAGGTAGCGAGTCAGAGTGCCCGGGTGTATTTTGCAGAGACTTGGGGACCACGGTACGGCTGACCTGACCGCAAATCATAATAGCGCAAGCGGATTTAAATCTTACGCGTTTCAAGAACACCCCCCGAAGCTGTTGATGGTCTCAAGGGTCGCATGGGTCACGCTCCAGGCACGGACCCTCTGGGACGGTGCTGTTTGCAGCCCAAAGGAAAAAACCGGGGGTCCCGCAGGGGTATTTTCCTGCAAGCAGGTGGCACGGTCGGACATACTGCAATTCGTCGCCAGACGCGTGTCCCCTACCGTCAATGAGGTGTTCTCTTCGTCCTCGTACACCGCGCACGCGTAGCACTTCCACTGCTGTGCTGCGCCGCTACTGTCAGGTATTTCCCCCTTGTGCAAGAGAGAAGGAAACAACCTGCGACGCCTTCGATGATACACCCTCCGGGCCGTTCCTGCTGTTTCGATTCTGCCGTCGTCCCGTCTCCTCCCCTCGTCGAGGCACCGCACGAAAAACAACATGGCCGTGCTGGCTCTAGCCCCCGCCTCCAAGGGAAGAGGGACGAGAAGAGCTCGTCATCCTCACATGACCATTCTAGCCGAGGATGGGCGAGATTTACCCAGTGTGCCGTGCTGGCCCTTGCACTAGCTGGGCCTCTTGGTGCAATGGGCCAGGAGGATGGTAGTAGCAGTTCCACGCCTGATGGTGAGGGGGAAGACGCGGAGGATTCGAGCGTCTTGGGGACGGTTGTCAGTTTCCTCGTGGTGATAGTCCTGGTAGCTGCGTCGGGGCTGTTCTCCGGGCTGACCCTGGGCCTGCTAGGCTTGGACAAGATCGGGCTGGAGATCATCAGCCACGGAGATGAGCCTCGCATGGCCGCTTTCGCTAAGGTGGGTTGTGCACAGCTTGCATGCGTTTTTTCGTAACGTGAGCATGATGCGTGTCTCGGTCCGTTCCACAGACTTTTGAGGGTTCTGGGGCAGAAGGGTCAGTTCATTCGCACACGGTTAACGACCTAGAGAAAGGATTGCACGCCGCAGTGTTTTCGTGGTGCAGCAAGCGTCCGATCGCCCCGTCTTCTTTCGCTAGCATTCCCGGTTACACATTTATTTGCCGTTGAGGTCCGGTAACCATGGTTGGTCCGCTCTGTTCTCCTTAAGACCACAAGACCACCAAGAGTTAATCCGCAGGGATCAAGGATCCACGTCATTCGCGAGAAGCACACATCCCGTTCGAATGTGGGTATATCTCGAACGGGTAGTCTTTCTGTGTGTGTATTTATTTTTCCTAACACATGTGTTTTTTAGGTCCCACCCGCTATTGCTATTGAGAAAGGGGCACAAATGCCAACTTTAGTACGCGGCGCAAAAACGATTACTCCTATATTGTAATAGCCTGAGATAGTGTGGGGGGCCCTCAATAACACCGGTTGAATAACGCCGGTGGCCCTCTATAGCGCCGGTGAAATTGCTGGCAGAGCGCCCATACATTGGGAATTTTTTTGTAAGACACGGAAGAACTTCCAACAATTATCTAGGTTTTAGAGGGGTAGAACCGGGTAGATACCCATCTCCAACCAATCACCCATCGATTTTGTAAGAAATTTTGTAAGACGGAGACAGATGGTTGGGCGATGGGCACGACGCTCTCGGGAGAATCCCCGAAATCCTCTTGCACATCAGCACCACACACACCACGCAGACAACAGATGAGACAACTAGCACAGCAGCATACGGACTGCTGTAGGCCAAGGGCAGCCAAGGCACACATCATAGGAGGCGTTGGGTGTGACTTTTACAGCCCGTTGCCTGCTGTGGGCAGCACAAGCGAGTGACGACGCAAGTCAATCCGCGGTCCGTCTGCATCATACTCAACCTACCGATCTTTGGAGCTTCCCACACAGACGCATCCCCACAACAGAGACAAACGAGAGACGTACACATTGCTGTATGCCAAGGCCGGCGAAAGACACACACCATGGCTGGCGTCGGAAGCTATTGTGAGACCCCAAGGCCTGCTGCTAGCAGCGTAAGCGAGGGAGCATGCGAGTGCACACAAGTCAAATCTGTCTGCGGTCTGTCTTCGTTTGCAGCCGATCTTTGCTTCCACCACAGAAGCACCCCCGAAACAGAGGCAAGTGAGACAGACGTTCACAACGCTGTAGGCCAAGGGCGGCCAAATATACACATCGTAGGAGGCATCGGGGGCGAAATTTAGAGCCCGTTGCCCGCTGTTAGCAGCGAAAGGGAGGAAAGCAAGTGCACACCCATCCTGCACGGCATCAGCAACAGCAGCAGCAGCTAGAAGCAGCTACATGTAGCTGATGATTATGAGAGCTAAACAGCGCTCTCAGTCATCCCCTGACTGACCGGTGGTGTCGGGCGAGGTGTGAGCGTGTGCACTGGTGACCTCTGTGGTGGCGTAGGCTCCATATCTATGTACGCTTGCTTGATGTCTCTCCGCCCCTTCTTTTCGCGCTTCGCGCGAAAATATATACCATATGTATTGGGAGGTGAGCCAAATTGCTGGGCACAGCCAAAGCCCTCAATAGCGCCACATCGGCGTTATTGAGGGCGTCCCGCAATAACAGTGGTTTGGGCACCTCTACACCCCGCAATAGCGCCGTTTTTTTTTACATACGCTAAGCAAACGCGCAAGACAGACTTGAGGGAATTTGTTGTTACCGAAGTTATTGAAGCGGAATGAGGAGGGGAGATAACGCGGGGTGTAGTCAAAGCCGTTGTTTTTTGTTGTTTCGTTTCTGGCGTTTGATCTGTCCTGTCTCTACCGGGCATAGCTGGTTTTGTGTCTGATTGTCTGCATGTGGCGCTTCGTTCGCGGTCGTTTCTTGTTCTTTCTCGCTACTTGGATGAAGGGCGAAAGAGTGCTGTTGCACGTTTCTCGTCCACATCTGTTTACTTTGCTGTTGTTCCCCTCTTTGCGACTATATAACTTTTCCCATTCAACGGTGCATTGGGTGAAGTTGTGTCGTCATGTCGCTGTCGCGGAGTCCTCTCTGTAACAGCAACTTTTCCGCGCCTATTTGTGAGGCAGGAGGATCAGCATGCTGCCGCCTTTCTAGATGATCACTTAATAAACGCAACTCTAGGCAGTCCAGGAACATAATTTATCCTTTGCAGTCCACCCGCTTTACCACTCAAGCGTTTCTTATTCAATTTGTGAATATGTTGGCTGCGTAAAGCGCAATCGCTGCGCCACATGACCATTACCCCTCAATAGTGCCACAACCGGCGTTATTGAGGGTTTGTGAGCCCTCAATAGCGCCGGTTGTAGCGCCGGTTGTGGCGCTATTGAGGCACTACTCCAACAGCGCCGGTCGCTCTGAATAGCGCCAGTCGATGCGCTGGGCACATACCGGCGTTATTGAGGGTCCCCCACTGTAAGGTATGACGAGGTTGGCTGCATGCCTTGTTTGGGGGTGCGGCCTGTGAGAAAAGACCCCGAACCGCGAGGGCCGGGGACCGCTCGGCACAAAGCTTGGCCGAACGGGGGAGAAACTGCACTTGAGAACCGCGGCACGTGCTGAGGTTAATGGTGCCGCGCCGTTGGCTGCTGCTGCTGCTGCTTCAATACGTGCGATGCAGTCGTCGAATCATACATGCTAGCAGTGCGGCTGAGTGGCGGTTAGCAGCGCGGCTGATGGCGGTGGACGTAAAGCCCGTGATTTTGCTACCAGCTGGGCTCGTAGTTGCACACAGCTGTAGCCTCTCCCCTGGTCTCGGACCTAACCCGCACCCCTCGGGCCACTTGCTGCCGCTCGGCCTCGTCCAACCATATGGGTGTTGGCATACGGCGGCACACGCGCGTTTGTGTCGCAGAAAATCCAACCCGTGAGGGCGGACGGCAACCTCCTCCTGTGCACGCTGCTGCTCGGCAACGTGGCCGTGAACGCCCTGCTCTCGATCGTGATGGCGCAGCTCACCTCCGGCTTGGTGGGGTTCGCCCTGGCGACGGTCATCATCACCATCTTCGGCGAAATCATACCCCAGGTGGGTAGCATATGATAGCGTTGTGATTGTCGACAGCGAGAGGGGCGGTACGGCCTACGGCACCTCGCCGGGGCGGCGAAAATGATCAGTAGCCTTCTCAGGGTGTTTCGTATGAAATAAACATGTTGGATACAGCATACAGTCAGGAAGGTAGGTTAGGGTTAGGGCTAGGGAGTAGGGTCTGCGTCCCCCCTCCCTGTTATTTTTTGTCATAAACTTATTAATCTCGCGAAGGCGGTCCAAGATGGTGGCTTTGTATGCAGCTACCATCGATTATGTGACAGTTTTGTGTGGTCTGCTATCACGATAGATTCTCGAGAGGGGGGGGGAGCCGAAGACGGGCAGCTACCCTTGCCACCCAGTCTCTGAGGCAGACGTTCCTTTCGTAGCACGACAGGTACTGTACAGATATGAGGAGATGCACACGTATGGCGAAGATCTTGTGTAGTTCCTGACTCACAGCAGTGCGGGCTTGCCGCCATTAGTCGACTTTGAGTCGTCACCTTTTTCTTCAGCATGCGCACGGCTGCCTCGCTCAGGGGATTTATTGTGCCGTTTCCAGACCTGGGTGTTGCCATTGCTATGTCTCATCTACACCCTCTGTCTGCATCCCACGACGCCGCTACATAGGAGCTAGGAACATGATCCTCTAGCCCACTGGTGTTTCTGCGATTA